AATTTATTGAAAAGATACAGGGGCATCTTCCAGACCCAAGCAGGCCTCCTGGGCAATGGGTTAGTCCTGCAGATCTCCTTCCTCTCTGTTGCCACAGCTGCTCCTTGCCGGTCTGGGCATGCCGGCTTCCTCAGCAAGGCTCCTAGTAGCTCTTCCTGCTTAACCTCTGCTGTCCAGAGTGCTGCTGATGGCCACGGCTGGGTCCAACTCCACATTATCCCCCCAGGGACCAGCACAGTCCCATCTTATTGCACAACCCCTGAAGGCACCTGTTTGAGGTGTTTTCTAAGTGATCTGCCTCTCCTGGAGTACAGCAGTTTGAATGATCCCCCTGCACCTGTGTAAAGTTGCAATCCTCCACCAACACAATGTATCTCAGTCTTGGGGTCTCTCAGTTCAAATTTTCAACTGGGGTCTCTCAGTTCAAATTCTCAAGAAGGAGAATCTGGCTGGTTCAGTGTGAGGAAGGTTTTCAGCCCTGATCCAAGTCCAATCAGGGGGTGTGTGTGTGTGTGTGTGTGTGTGTGTGTGTGTGTGTGTGCGTGTGTGTGTGTGTGTGGCTTGATTCACAGTGAGTAGCCCGGGCTGAAGGCAGATTCTCTAAGAAGGGGTTGTAGCAGTTGGGATCCTGGCGGGAAACAGTAGCACCCTCCAAGGGATAATTAAAAAGACAGGTGTGAGCAGCTTCAGAGGTAAAAACAGGTGCTGAAGCACCTAAGGACTAGTGAGCTGTGGGGACCTGTGATCACCTCTGAGTGTGAAGAGTGAGTGAGGGGAACCATTACTAACAGCACGGGTGAGACAGGCCACGCAGCAGGAGCTGTGCATCACGGCCAGGCCAGGCCAGGTGGGAAGGCTCTTCCTTGCTCACCTGACCCTGCCGCACTTTGGTGAAATCCAAGAGGAGGGAGAGGACATGCTTAGCAGGTGTGACTTAGAGGGGAGTCCAGACAGAGAAGGGCAAATGGAGAATGACCAGCACAGGCTGCAGAGGCCATCTGGTGCAGAAGGAGAGGAGACGGCCTGAGCCAACGAAGGGCGGTGTGAAGCCTCTGGGCGTTCCTTGGTACTGGAGGACACGGTGCTAGACAGCAAGGGGAAACTGATGCACTAGAGAGGCCAGGGCTGCAGAGGGCCTTGGGGACTACCAGCAGAAGCTCAGACCCCATCCTGTAGGGGATGCCCACTAATGGCAGGGCACCTGGCCAGGAGGCTGCCGCACAGACAGCTGAAAGCTAAAGCCGAAAAGCAATTCAAGTGGATGAACTTCGGGCACAGAGTGGGAAATATTTTTGACTGGTGGTGTCCTTCTAAAGGCCTCTGAATCCCACAACATTCAGAAGGCCTTTTGTTTATGAGGGACAGAAATCCAATGAAAGTAGCATTGGCCAAAATAGTTATTACTTCATGGAACTTGGAAGGCCAGGGCAAAGCTGGTTTCAGGGACTCTGGAAATGCAGAAGATAGCAGCATGAATTTCTCTTTCCATCTCTGTTTGTCTCTTTCACTCTTTAACTCGACTTGTCACACACCTTGCTGTAGGACAGGGGAAGGGAGAGGCCACAGCTTCCTCATCGCAGTTTAGTGACCCCAAAGGAAAGAAAAAAATTGCTTTTTTTAAAAAAAAACACCCATCTCTAAAGACCCAGAGGAGCACTCTAGTCCAGCTCAAGTCACAGGTCCACTCTAGACCAACCATGTCTGCTTGTTAAAGCAAACGAAATATGGCCTGAGAAGGACTCCGTACTTATATATTTGAGTCCTTGTGGACGAACGGTAACCCCGCTTAACAGGCACGCAAAATTGAAAACTTAACTTAGTAGTATGCACCTGTAACAATAGCTGAGTATTGGCCAATCCTAGCAGCCATGCTTCAACCACTCACAGACTGCTGAGTGTTCCAACTGTTCAAATAAGGCAAACGCCGAGCTGCAACCAATCTCACTGTTTCTGTACCTCACTTCCAACTCCTATACGTCACTTTAGTTTTGTTTTTTTGTTGTTGTTTGTTTTTTGGAGACCAAGTCTCACTTTGTTGCCCAGGGTGGAGTGCAGTGGCACAATCTCAGCTCGCTACAACCTCTACTTCCCAGGTTCAAGTGATTCTCCTGCCTCAGCCTCCTAAGTATCTTGGATTGTAGGCGCCTGCCACCATGCCCGGCTAATTTTTGTATTTTTAGTAGAGACAGAGTTTCACCATGTTGGCCGGGCTGGTCTTGAACTCCTGACCTCAAGCCATCTACCTGCCTTGGCCTCCCAAAGTGCTGGGATTATAGAAGTGAGCTACTGCGCCAGGCCACTGTACTTTGTCTATAAATTTGTTCTGACCCCTAGAGTCTCTCTGAATCTGCTGTGATTCTGGAGGCTGCCTCATTCGTGAATTCTTTCTCTCTTTTTTCTTTGCTCAATTAAATTTCATCTCATTGAACTTAAGTTTTCTTTTAACAACCTCCATGATGGGCATCTCAGATTGGCCAGGCCTGGTCCACCTGCTGTGGCCTGGGGCTGGTACTGTGACTGTGAGGACCATCAGCACTGAAAGAATCGAGGAAGGGCGGTTCACCTATTCAGAAGGCCAGGGGGAGATGTCACACAGCCAAATGCAGCAGATGTCCCCCACCACGTGCATCCCGTCAGCATGCCTGCCTACGCGGGGCTCAGCCCTTTCCTGCTCAGACAGGCCAGCCAGGAAGCCCCGTCACAGGGAGGCTCCAGGGTGCTGTGTGGAAAGTAGTGGTCTGAATAGTGTCTGTTAAGCAAACGACAAAAATCAACCCCAGAGAAGTAGAAAACAGCTTGGTGGCCCAGCCTGGTAAGTGGCGGAAGATGGTGGTAGAGCTGTCTTTGCCTGTCATCTTCGGCCTCTTCTAGCAAGCCACTGGTGGTCCATAATGAGATAACAATGACCATTCTTCTTCCAGACAGTGTAGAAACAGTGACAATGTGGTTATGGCCCCCTGCAGAGCGAGCAGTTGATGAGCTCTGCGTATGGCTGCTCTCCTCCACGGCAGAACGCATTCCTGCAGGGTGAGGTCATGGAACCAAGGAAGGTCAGGGTCTGGGGGACTTCCTGGGTCAGAGCTCCAGAGCAGCGCTGCTCCCCCTGCCCTCCTCCTTAGGTCTCTCATCACTGGTGGTCTCAGAAATCTCTGAAGACATGTGAATCCCTGCCCTGGTGTGAATGCAAGGGGACGAGTTTGTTTCTGTGAAGTAGTTTGCAGATTCGTGGAACTGAGAGAACCCAGATCCTTCCCCATTTCCCTCGACCATTCCATCTCTGGACCCCATGCAGACTATGCTCGGGTGGTGACACAGAAGAATTTAGTGTCTGGTGGATCCGTTTCTGGAAGTCATGAATGCTGACAGCTGGCACGTAACAGTTATCAAAAATAACATTAACTGGAGTAGGCTCTGTGCCACTTAGAGCTTAATGTCTCACTGAATTCACCCCAAATCCCCATGAGCTACCATTGTTATTAGCCCTATGTTGCAGGGAAGGAGACTAAGGCTCATCCAGTTAGTATGATGAAACCTACATTCAAACTCTGGTCTGTTTGAATCTAGAACTCTTAGCTTCCCCCCAGCGACTGTGTTAGAACAGAGGAAACAGCTCAATTTCCACCTCCCTCCTAAGCCTTCATGGCTCTAGACCTATGTTTATAAAGGTTGTCCACTGCTCAAGGGCGCAGGAGGGTTTGGGGCTGGTGGACAGGGGCCAAAACACAGCCCAGGGGTGCCATTTTTCTAAGTCTCACCAAGGCCCTATACTGACCAGCGGCGGCCCTACCCAGTACCATCCAGGGCCTGCTCCGAATTCTGACAACAGCTGGCTACTGACACATCTGGCCCCCCTTAACTATGGCTGCCCCGCACTGTGACCCAATTGGTTCCTATGACAAAACCTGTTACTCCCATAACCCACCCAGCACCTTTTCGTCCCTAGGCTCTTGCTCCTTTGGTTCCCTCTGCCTGGAATAGCCTCTCCCCAGCCGCCTCGCCTGGTTCTATTAGGTTGGTGCAAAAATCATAGCGGTTTTAATGGCAAAAACTGTGATGACTTTTGCACCAACCTAGTATTTCATAGAACCTACCTTTCCTTTAAAACCCAGCCTGATGCCTACTCCTTCAAAATGCCTTTCATATGCCACAGTTCGACTTCATCTCGCTCTGCCTCCTCTCCCAGAGCTTTCGTGTTCGTGCTGGATGGAGCCCATCATACTCAGGCTCGCAATAACGGCCACCTACCTAGTGAGTGAGCATTTACTAGGCGCAGGGCTCTGGGCTAAACGCTGTCCATACTTCATCTCCTTGATTCTTCACGTCACAGATGTCATTATGCCCATTTCACAGAGGAAGAAACTGAGGCTTGGAGGACCTAAAGCCTTGTTTCAGCAGGAAACGCAATAAGGCCTTCTGATTTTCAAGCTGCCTCCTACTAGGGCTGGTTTTCCCTAGATGTTATGACTAGGTGTGAAGTGTGAGCTACCTGAAGGCAGACGCCAGGGCGGTCCCCCGCAATCCTGGAGGCGGGTTTCTGCAAATGTTCAGCCCAGGAAGGAGGGCTGCCCTGGCCCCCAGCTTTCCGCCCCTTCCTAGGTGAGCCGCAACTCCAAGGCTCCCAAGTAGGCCCTTCACCCACGCGGGCCCCAGCGGCTCCTTGGGAAACAGGATCGCTGCTCTGTGGCCGCCCACAGAGAGACCCTCGGGGGTCGCCAGGCAAGCGAAGGGCAGAAACGACTCGGGGGTGCAAAGGGGAGGGCGCTCGAACCACACCCAGCCTCCTCCAGCTTGTTTACGCCTCTGGGCCCTGTCCCTCCGCCCGCCAGTCACGTGACCACCCACCCCGCCCCTTGGGCTCTCGCTTGGCTCCTCCCGCCGCGCCGGCCCTTCTTTTTGCCTCCTTCGCGGAGTCACAAGATCTCTTAGCAGCCTCCTTTCGGGATCCTTCCGCCTGGCCCCGCCCCCTTCCATTAAAACCCTCCTTGCTTTTTTTTTCTCGTCCAACCCCCATGTGAGTTATGAGTGGGAGAGCCTCTTCCTTCCGCCGAGGTTGCCGAGCGCGGCCGTCTGTCCTTCCTTTCGAGAAGGAGGGGAGCGCTGGAGGGGGACTCTTTTTCGTAGCGGAGGCCGCCGACGGCCTTGGCCCTTTCACGACGGGGGAGGTGCTGTACGTCCAAGATGGCGGCGCCCTGTAGGTTGGAGGGACTGTGAGGTAAACAGCTGAGGGGGAGGAGACGGTGGGTGAGTATGGGGGTGTCTCCCCCTCCTTTTTATGGGGGCTTCCTGGGGCAGCCTCGGCACCATGCCTCCAGTTGGGGAGGCTCGGAGGGGCTGGAGCAAGAGGCTCACTTGCTTGGTAGGGATCCCGGGGAAGGGGGGGGGTCGGAGAGCTCTCCCCTCCTTCTTATTACGCGCTATCTCCGGCGGGCCCGGCCGGGACTGGCGGGTCTCTGGGGAGGAGAGACGAGCCGGACCGGGCACTTCGCCCCTCCTTGGCGCCCGAGGGGACGGCTGCACCCCGGGCCTCGGTCCCTCGGGCAGGGGTGAGGTGGGCCCCTTCGTCAGCCCCTCACTTGGTGGGGTGACAGGTTCACGCTAGGTGCGGAGGGCACGGTAGAGACCCTTGGCGGGAGGGGAAGGGTCGCGAGGGTAGGGCTGGTCCTAGAACTTAAAGAGAGGGGTCGGGGTAGAGGGGCGTGGAGAATGAATGGAGGTTGCCTGTGGGGATCAAGGACTCGCCCGGACTCGGTGTCTCCGCTGAAATTTGCATGACTGTTGTGCCTCACTCTGGGTGTACTTGTGGGTGTTTAATTGATAGTGAAAGACAGTTACCTTAAAGTCGGCAAAGGTGATTCCTAAGACACAGCTATTTGCAGAGCCACTCCTAGGCTTTCATTCATTCATTTGAGGAACTGGAGGATGAAGAGCCTGCAGTCGGAGGGACCTTGTAGAATTAAAGCTCTTTCTTTGTGTTTCCTGTTAAAGAGTTTTGCTTTGTGTGTTTTGGATTTGTGGTGGGGACTTGGGAGGGGACGCGGTCCTCCTAACTAAGAACCACAGCTAACGTTAATGGAGTGCTTGCTCTCTGTGTGCCAGGCACTGTGGAGGTGCTTAGCAGTCATTATCTCCTTTGGTCCTCACGACAAAGAGAAGAGGCAGCCACTATTAACACCTCCAGTCTTCTCAAATGAAGAAACTGAGGCCCGGAGAGAGCAGGGTACTTTGCGTAAGATCACACCCCAATTGTATCTGAGCCAGGACTGGAACTGCTGGGATCTGACTGACTCCAAAGATATGACTCTTAAATTTATCTGTTATTGGATCAAAGCTGACCTGTACGTGATTAAAATTTATCATTTAGCCACGGTTTATGCACGTGTGTTCTGTTTAATGTTAAAGTGGGGGGATGCACTTGGCTTATCCGCCTTAGCTTTTGTTTGGGATGGCAGTGTTGTGCATGTAAATTTGTTAGTCTAAATTAGGCTAAAAAGTACTTGATATTTTAATAAAACTGATGAGTTTACTGCAGAAAGAAGTCCTGCTAAAATCCTTGCTGGCTTTTCTTTTTTTTTTTTTTTTTTAATAGAAAGCATAGAAATAACACTTCACGTTGCATAGAGTAAGCTATAAAAGTGCTAAAATAGAATAATACTCTTCTGAGATACTTTGATTTATAATTTTGGGATCAACTTGGAGTCATCTGAATTCAAACAGCCTGGCAAAGTGGAGCTGTAAATTTTGGGAAGCATTATAAAACCTAATCTTTGGGGAGCCTTGGATTTACCGAGCAACCACCTGTGATTCTTAAGTTGAGCATTCCTGAGTAAACCTGGAATATGCAAATGTGAAAGCTGATTTAGGGTCGTGTAGGGAAATGTACCTTTAACAGTCATGCATCAGGCAAATGAGGCTCCTCAGAAACACTGAAACATTCTTTGCTATTGCCCTGGGGAGCTGCAGAATCTTCCTCTAACCACCTGGTGTAAACTTAAGGGGTATTTATAGAAGATGTAAACGGAAAATATCCTCTTACTAAAGTTAATATCTTATCCAAAACACTCTTACATCACGTGCCTAGAAGGGCAGATGATGTAAACTTTCTCTGCTTCATACATTTCCTGGTGTCATAAACACTTGGGATGTTCCTGAATTCCTGGTTAGAAAGCAGGTGGCTACCGGCCTTTTTGTTTCGTAAAATTAGAGTGCTTCAAGTCCTGTGACTCAGTTGTCCTCTTCCTCACTGGATTAAGAGTAAAAACTGATACTGCTACTGTTGTGGTGTAATATGATGCCTTCTGTGCATGCCTGGTTTCACTTGTGAGATGAAACTTAACAGTCTTACTAGGGCAAATCTAATATATACCTCTGTATGTAATGTTTGCAGAATAATGAACTTGCTGGAAACAAGAGATCTGACACCATAGTGCTCATGAGAACCTCGATGTACAGATATTTGGCACTATAGTAGGTAGACCTACATATTCGGACACCTTGTGTATGTATTTTGGAAGAAGACTAATTCTGATGTGCACCAGAGGTTGAGGACCACTGGCTTCAAGTATCAATCTGGCTATTTTCATTTATTATTTATCGCAGAGGTATTTCTTAAAATAGCTTCTGGCCTCTTATGTATGTAGTGTTGGGTGAATTTTGGGCTCTGAATTAGAGCTGGCTTGATCTTATAGCTCTGTCTTCATGTGAAGTTTGTTAGGCTACAGGTATGTTTATTTCTGGGTTCCAGGCCCATAGTGAACTAAAATTAGCTTTTCCTGGAATTAATTGGATATTCTTGAATGCCGATGAGCCACATACAGCAGTATCTCAATCATTTCAGGCTCTCCTAAAGAGTCAGATAGCTTTTGACCTTCAGTGGGTCACTTAAGTTCTCTGAGCCTCAGTGTCTTCATTGGTGAAGTAAAAGTTGGAATGTAAATTAATGAGTATTTCTAGGCCTACATTTCTGTGATTTAAAGTCCTTTGGGGTGTCATTTAAACCTTCTGACTAAATCGATTGAGGCAACGTGTTAATGGTTCTGTAATAACCAAGCAAATTGGTGACTTTGCGCCTACCCTGTTGGGTGAAGATCTGTTTAGCATTTATCCTTTCCTTTACATCATAATACTTTTTTAAAAGGTAATTCCCTATAAGTTTCCCATGCTATAAATCTCTGAAAGGTTAGTCTTTGCATTGGTTTTGTCATTTAAGTAGCCGAAGGCATGAAAGAAAGTGTACTTAGTAGCATTAAAATCTGTGGCTGTTTGCTTGAAGTGTGTCTATGTAGCATACATTCAAACACTGAGTTTGTTTTTTTTAACCTCAGATCATGAATTGGTAACTAATATAATTTGGATGGCATGAAATACTCATTCTCCATTTAAGTTCATCTGAAAGAGGTAAACTGTCAACAATTTGAGATTATTCTTTCTCTGGTTTACTTTTTAAGCCTGTAGTTGCTAGAATTTAGTAACCTTATGTCTGTTTTCATGGGGGAGAATAAAAATTCAAATTTTACACGCTGTATATAAAATATACTGTCTCAGGACCTTGTCAGTTTCTTGTCCTTTCTCTTGTTCAGTGCTAACTTTTGTTATGAACAGGGAATCAGCAAAAGGTAACAATACTTTTTACAGTTGAATGAATTCAGATTTACACCTAGTAAGTAAAATGCCTTAAAAACTGTGCTTTAGTCCAAGATAAAGCATAGTAGTTACTGCCCTACAACTCACAGGTCACTCTCTTAAGTAAATATGATGGCAGTAGAGGCCGGGAAGTGTTTGAGTAACAAAGGACAGTTTTGCCCTTCTGTTAGTGATGTGATGGAAGACACAGAGGGGATCTGTAGGAAGAGCAGAGGCAGTGACCTTAATGTCTGCAATAATTAAGACTGCTACTTTGAGTAGTTCACAGAGCATAGTAACAAACTTGAACTGTATCCATTTTAAGTTACACAATGGTTTTATCAATGTTTCAAATAGCAGTTGTTAAATGGATAGACTGCTAAGCATTATGTACCCAGCAGTACATTTTTGTCAAGTAGTAATATTGTTACAATAAAGTTTATATTTTTTGAGTACTCATGTGCCAAACAGTGTGGTATTTTACATGTCTGATTCCCCATTAACTTCTTACAGCCTTAAGAGGCAGCATGGGAGGACGAAACAGGCTTAGAATAAGTTGCCTAAAGTTACTTATTCGGTGGCTGAGCTGGAATATGAACCTTTTTGGTTGACGCCACAGCCCAAACATTTAGTCTTCCTCTGTGATAAACTGCTTCATCTACTGACCTCATAAATTAACTCACAGGTCAGGTCAGTGGTTCTTAACTTTGGTGGTGGTGGGAAGGTGTGTGGACTCAGTTCCCCTCTGAAAATCTGTGGGAAGCTGTGGACCATATTTCTCTTCTACCCTTCATGTCCCATCATCACCAAAAAAATTCATACAGACATGGAATTTTGGATATGGCTTCAGGCACTTTATGGACCCAACTTGAAACCCAGCTGATCATTTTAGATAGATTACTGCTCTAAAAATGGACTTAGGCTTTATTAAAAACAATTTTTTTGTTTTTTAACTAGTAGGCAGGAAAGGCCCAAGTCAGAAGGTGGCCTTATGTACCGTCTGGGTTATAAATTATTTTGTTAAACTTCTGTAGTATACCCAGGTATGTAATCTGCTAAGTGCTTGTCAGGCTTGGCGTTCGGTCTGTGCTGGTACCTTTAGCACCTGGGAGAATTCCATTGAGCCTTCTTCCCAAGGTTTATGCACGATATATATGTTTTTCCTTTTGAACCTCAATGGAGGTATATTAATGAATGAATGTTTTTTACCTTCATCCTTCTTCTTCCTAGACCAGTGGTTCTGAACCTTTAGTGGACATCAGAATTACCTAGAAGACCCCACCCCCAAAGTATCTAATTCAGAGATCGATCTGGGGAAAGGCCTGAGAATGTACATTTCTAACAAATACCCAGGTGATGCTCCTGCTAGTGGTGCCAGGACCACATTTTGAGAACCACTGCCCTAGACTATCAAACTACACCCTTTTTCCCTAGAATACTTCTATTTCGGTCCTGTAAACCTGAAACCTAAAGATATCTCACAGTTTGCTTTATATTTCTTTTAGGAGAAGCTCTGGGTAGTGTCTTTTTGAAATATACATGGTATCTGTTCAGCCTGTATTTTCTTAGTAAATAGTGTTGTTCCTGTTAATAGAAAGTCAAAACATAAGCATTATTTATTGAAGAGATACGCCTTACCACAATCAAGCTCTGGCCTGATACGCAAGTTACTAGAAAATTCTTTACCTTTGCGATAGGATGTAAGCTTTAGCAAACCATCCATCAAGGCCCCTAATGGCAGAAATTCTGAATGGAGAATCTAGCAAGTTGGAGCTCTCCTACCCCAGTTTGTCCTTGAGAGGGACTCCCACTGCTGAGACCTTTTAAATCACACATGACTACATGTGTTGGCAGGTTTTACCATCAGCTGTTTTACTCTCACATAGTAAGTAGTTATTTCCTACCCTTTTCTCCTTCCTTCTAGGCACTGATAGGAAGAGAGAATGGGAGCAAGTATCTTACCCTTTTTAGATGCATTTGTGCTGAAGGCGCCTTGGTTCACTTGATAGACTATTACCCTAAGAAGTCACCTGAGAATTCCTGAGCCAGAGCAGAGCATTAACCTAACAGTGTAACGTTTCTGCTCTATCTAACTGTACCTGATAATAAAATAGTCCATCCATGCCTGGACCTGTGTCTGAATTGTCCTTGAATTTTTATGGATAAAAAATTGGATATAGAAAACAAGTTATAGTGAAGAGACATCTGCCTTCATTTACACATGTAGTGCATTTTTACATCATAGACAAATGTGTACAAAATTATCTTAGGCAAATTGATCTGCAGTCACCTATTTTATGTTACCTACAATCCTGAGGAGTCGTGGAGGGTAGTGTCTAGGCCACATATCACAGCACTTGGTTTTGAAAAGTTCGAATATTCCCCTGTAATTTCAGATAAACCCTTTCTAAAGACATCTTAGGTGTCTGCCACTAGTATTTTCAAAAGGTATATATACCCCTTGGCTCTCACAGCTCATAATGCATCTTGGCTAGGGCAGAGATATGTGAAAAAAATGGCATACGGGTCCTGCTATTGACAGCTATCCATGGCTGTTAGGCTGGAGTTCATGTGTAATCCTAGGCATATAAGCCATCCGTCTGTAAACACCTAAAGAATGATATTAGTTAAGATGAATGGTGAAAACAGATTGACCTATGTGCCTTCTGTTTCATCTCAAAATACTTAAAACACAGAGCCCTTATCTTGTTCCGCAAACCTACATTTTATTCAAAAAGGTTGCTTATAGAAGTGAAATTATAATGATGAACATAAGTGAGAACACAACTTTTGGGTCCAATATGAAAGGGAAAAAAATCTAGATCTGGAGTCAGGTTTCTTTTTAGATTTGGCTTTCGAAGGTAAGGACATGGATTGATACTGGTGTTCTGCTCTGCCAGGTGTTTCCATCTGCACTCCTCCTTTCCCTTCAGGAGGTTCACAAATCACATCTCACTTTACTGACCAGAGTGATGGTGCCTGGTAGCACCCCCCGTAGGGCAGGATTGAAATACAAATGAATAAGTCAATAAACACTTAAAAATATAAATAAGAGTAGAATAGTAGGTAGCCTTTGACATACCAACATAAAATTGCTACCAATTTAGTACCATTATCATTTTTAGTGCAGTGATAAAGAATTTAAAAGTCTTAACATTGAGCATTTGACAGAAACATTCTGCTAGGTAGGGAGTGGTGGCTCACGCCTGTAATCCCAGCACTGTGGGAGGCTGAGATGGATGGATCACTTGAGTCCAGGAGTTCTAGACCAGCCTGGGCAACATAGGGAGACCCTGTCTCTATAAAAAATACAAAAATTAGCCGGGCATGGTGGTGTGTGCCTGTATTCCCAGCTACTTGGGAGGTTGAGGTGGGATGATTGCTGGAGCCTGGGAGGCAAAGGTCGCAGTGAACCGTGAGCCACGGTCAGGCCACTGCACTCCAGCCTGGGCGACAGAGCGGGGCTCTGTCTCAAAAAACAAAACAAAAAAACCAACCACCACCGCCTTTTGGTGGTGTGCACTACTTTCCTAGAGTAGATCCTTGATGGAGGACAGGGGTTGTGGCTGGCCAGTCTACAGGATCTCATCTGGTGTAGATCCTAATTTTACCCTTGCCTTAGATAGTTCTTCTCAGGTGAAATGTCCAACACGGATTAGTTGCAAGAGGAAGTCTATATGACTCACTGGACTAACTGCTTATTTTAAGATTCTGATTTTAAGATTAGAGGCTCCTGCACTTTATTTATTTATTTATCTATTTATTTTGAGATGGAGTTTTGCTCTTGTTGCCCAGGCTAGAGTGCAATGGCATGATCTCTGCTCACTGCAACCTCCGCCTCCTGCGTTCCAGTGATTCTCGTGCCTCAGCCTCCCGAGTAGCTGGGATTACAGGCATGCGCCACCATGCCTGGCTAGTTTTGTATTTTCAGTAGAGACTGGGTTTCTCCATGTTGGTTAGGCTGGTCTCAAACTCCCAACCTCAGGTGATCTGCCCACCTTGGCCTCCCAAAGTGCTGGGATTACAGGCGTGAGCCACTGCGCGCGGCCTGGGCTCCTGCACTTTAATTCAAGCCCTGTGACTTGCATTGAGTGCGACCAGGCAAGCACTCCCTGTCAGAATGGTATGATCCCTCTTTTCCGGAGGACCAGCCTGCCTGCAGCACTGTTCACAGGCTTGCAGGTGCCACTGAAGAGACCAGTGGAGTTTAATGTCTGGAATGTGTTCCACGTGGAAATAGAATTACCCTGTCATCTGGAACAGTGATTTTAATTGTTAGAGAGTTCCTCAGTCCACTAGTTTGACTTTGGCCATGGTTGTACATTTAAGAAGTTGGTTCAAGTTTTTTCCGTGTTTAGGGTAATTGGGTGTCCATAGTATATGAAGCTCAGCTTTCACACTCTATTCAACTCTGGAATGGCTGCCAAAGAAGCTGATTACATCTTACCTGATCTGAGCAGGGTGTATTTGCCTCTTGTGTGCCAGGTGCCAGGATAGACCCTAGGTGTCCCAGATGGTTCCTGTCCTTATGGAGTTTACAATCTAGTGATCAGATTGTACCTAAATATAGTTTGAAGGACCCATATTTTAAAAGCAAACTAGAATGTATTGATATATACTCATTTAGCATTGATATTTAATACAAGTTAATTTGGACAAAGTGGGGTAAAAGGGGGAAGAAAATAGAAAAATGGTAGCTGTTCACAAATATTTTATGTCTGTTATAGAAGGATTAAATTTAAGTCATGCTACCTGAAGGCAGAATTAGGCTTTGGACATTTATTTAAGAAATACTGGCCAGGTGCAGTGGCTCACATCTGTAATACTAGCACCTTGGGAGGCCTTGATGGGAGGATTGCTTGAGGCTAGGAGTTTGGGCATAGCCTGGGCAACATAGTGAGACCCCATCTTTAAAAAAAAAAAATAGTCGGGCATGGTGGTGTGCGCCTGTATTCCTAGCTACTCGGGAGACTGAGGTGGGAGGATCGCTTGAGCCTAGGAGTTTGAGGTTGCAGTGAACTATGATGGCGCCACTGTACTCTAGTCTAAGAGTTAGACCCTGTCTGTAAAAGAGAAAGAGAGAAAGAAAAGAAAGAAAAAGAAAAGAAAGATTTTAACTCCTAGTCATTCCATCAAGAAGTGCTAGACACCATGGTAGCTGCTTGAAATACAGCACTGAGTAAGCTGCAGTCTCTCCCTGGATATAACTTCTAGTGAAGGAGACATGTTCAGTAATTAATCGAGCTTATTTAATTGGGTTGTGGTAAGTGACACAAGAAATATAGGCTGCAAGAGCATAACAGGGGACCTGACCTAGAATGGAAGGTGGGAGTGGGAGGGAAGTGGAGCCTAGGAGGGCTTCTCCGAGGAAGTGAGCATTTAAGCTGAGATTTTAAGGATGAAGAGTGAGTTTAGGAGGAGCCAAAGGTAGAGTCTCTTGGGCTCAGCAATGGGGAGCATGTGGCTTGACCAAGGAACTGAAAGGCCAGTGAGGCAAGGTGGTGGGGAGGGTTGCGGAAGGGTGAGGACTGTAGGAACTGTGGCAGGCAGTGAGGGCCTGCTGGCCCACTCAGTGCTTTGTGCCCCTCACTGTCCTGGACCTGCCTCACATGGCTCACCCGGTAACTTCGGTGTGCCCCACATTGTGCCGAGGGCAATAGGATGCATCATCTCATGTAATCCCCACAAGCCTTATGAGCTTGATGCCATCATTATTCTAACTTTACAGACAAGGTAACTTACAGTTAGACCTTGGAGACTTAAGATAAATAGCCAAATGTTACACACTAATAAGTTGCAGAGCTTGGATTTTAACCCGGAACTCTCTAATTCTAGGGCCTATCCTGCCCATTCATTTATACCTCTAACAGACATTAACAAAAGACAGAGATTACAAGTTCAGCACAATATAAAGAATTTTCCAGCAACCAGCTGTTCAGAAATGTAGACGGGGAGAGCCACGTGCTTCCAGTGATTATGAGTGTTCATTCCAGTGGAAACGTGATGGCCACCTGTTGGGGATAGCGGAGGAAGAAGCTTGTGCCAGATGAACCCCTAACTCACTTCTGATTGCATCTGGGATTTTGCTTCATTGTGCATATGTTTTCTTCCTTCAGTGACCATGAAAGACACCAGGTTGACAGCACTGGAAACTGAAGTACCAGTTGTCCCTAGAACAGGTAAGGTCTAACCAGGCCAGTGGTTAGAGGAAGATGGGAGGGAATTATCTTGCCCATGGTTGTGCATTCAGGGATTTAACATTTACAGTTTTAGCTACTTGCCAGGAACTGGACCATCTATGGCGTGAAGTAATTAGCATTACTGATGATTATTAGTTGCTTATTCAGTGCCTGACACTGTGCAAAGTGCATTGTATGGATTACTTTTCTTCTTCACAGCCACACTTTCGGTGTATCCCCATTTTACAGGTGAGGATTCAGGTTCAAAGATGTCACGTAGTTTTCCTAAAGACATATAGCTAGTACTTGGTGGACTCAATTCAGCTCTGTTGAGCACCAAAGTTTGGTTTTAACCACTTCATTAAATTAAAGCCTGTGTGCTGACACAGTCATTTAACTAGTGCAGAGGTTCTTAACCCTGGCTGCACCTTAGAAATCCGCATGGGTTTATAAAAACAAACCACATGTGATATGCTCCAGACTTTCTGTAAGCTCTCCAGGTGATTCTAATGTACATCCTGGGCCGAGAACCCTTGAGCTGGTGAGTGAGCATTTGCATCTTAACATGGCTATATCTGTTGTCTTACATTAATTTTTGAGAGATAAGTTATATGCTATAGTAGTTTTTAGGAATTGGAGGATCCTGTCTCAGAGTATATCCTTCATAAATGTTGAGGTGCTGGCATTTCCGTGGATGGAATTTCCTCTTAGTGGCCTAACTGATCACTGAACTGTAATTTTGGTTTAGCAGTAATAGTGCCAAGTGCAACAGAGTTGTGTATAGGAAGGGTGTAGGGAAGACAGGAGGTGCTTGGTCTGCTGTCTTTATACATGGATAGCTGTGTGACTCATGCCAAGGCTCAGTGGTTGCTGTTGACTGTATTCTGTCACTGTCTGCCTCACCTCTGTCATAGGAATTGTGAAATAAGGTAGAGATTTTTGTCTTACAGCTCTACATCAGTTCGTAAGTAGGGTCTTGATACAAACTGTAGACTGTCTAACAAGAAAGTTAAGTATTGTTCTCTCACATGTAGGGAAAATTTTCTGAGTTTGATTTTTCATTTTCAGTGTTTTTGTGTGTGCTTCATACTGTTCCTTTTTTAGAAGTCCGCTGTATGTGAATTTGAACCCAAAGTCAAAGGGTTAAGTGTTCAGATCATTGAGGTCCAAGCTAAATATCACCATCATAAAATGTAAATTCTGAGATACAAAAGTAAATCTCAAATTTTATTAAACATTTTTCACCATAGTAATTGTATTGCATTTTAGTAGTCAGATTTTAGAAGTTCGAAAATTTAATATAGGAGAAATACTTTGTGGACACTACTGGCTGCTAGGTTACTCCTGTGGTCACTATGTCACAGGTGTGTAATATCATCTCAGCTGGCACACAGCCTCATTGGTAACATTTTTGGACAAAGCAGAATTCAGGAAAGTTTCTGGTAGTTGGTTTTCTGGAAGGAACCTTGTACCTGGGATTCATAGCTTGGCAAGCCTCAAAGATCCTTACTCTAAAGTTACTAAAAATTGTTGGCTGCCTTTAGCAATTGTTTTTATTTTGAAACAAAAAATCCCCCAACTTTTAATAGCATTTTTCTTTTTTCATGGAATACTCTTGCTTATACTTTTGTCTTCATTTTTAAGACATTTTTGGCCAGGTGTGGTGGCTCACATCTGTAATCCCAGCACTTTGGGAGGCCAAGGTGGGAGGATCACCTGAGGTCAGGAGTTCGAGACCAGCCTGGCCAACATGGTAAAACCCCGTCTCTACTAAAAATACAAAAATTAGCTAGGCGTGGTGGTGTGCGCCTGTGAGCTCAGCTACTTGGGAGGCTGAGGCAGGAGAATCGCTTGAACCCAGGAGATGGAGGTTGCAGTGGGCCAAGATTGTGCCGTTGCACTCCAGCCTGAGCGACAGAGCGAGACTCTGTCTCTATTAAAAAACAAAAACAAAACACCTGTGCCAAAGCCAGACAGCCAGCAGATTTTGGCTGAGTATAGAGACTGAAACTGAACTTTGGTAGATCCCTGCTTTCCATGTTTTTTGAGATCATAAGTATTGTTGGATCAAATCTGGTTACTAGCTGTGTAGTTTAAACTTGGTTCAAGGTTTCTCATGAATTACAAAGTATCAAGTATCTTTTATTGAAAAGTGATGACTAAGAACCTCCCTGCTGCTTTAGATTGGGTGGTCAGGGGAGGCCCATCAGAGATCTGAGAGACAGTCAGCTGTGCAAGGATGTGGGATAAGAGTGTTCCATGCAGAGAGGGAACAGCAAGTGCAAAGGCCTTGAACAAGAAAGAACCAGTATTCCTGTGTTTGGGAAGACTGGGACTAGAGCAGAGGAATGAAGAGGCAAAGGGGGGTTGGGAGGTTAATAACTTGCTGGATCTTAGGAGGCCTTGTAGACTACTCATGAGTTTCATAAGTTCCATAATGTTATTGGCTCTTACTAATTCCATGGGAAGCCACCGGATGATTTTAAACAGAGGAGTGAGATTCTGATGTTCATATCTCAGTGTCTCTTGTGGTTATTTGGTGGCAAATGAATTTTGTAGGGTAGCATGAATACAAGCAGAGAGAGTAGTGAGGGGGGCTGCTGCTCCCTTGTCTCTGAGAGATGATGGGGGCTTCGACTGAGGTGATAGCAAAGGGTTTGCTGATGGATTAGATATGGTGGTGGAGGTGGTGAAAGAGTCAAGGAGTCACCTGGGTATTCGCTTTAGACTGATGGTAGTGCCTTTTACTGAGATCCAGAAGATGGCAGAGTGATGGATGTTGGAGTGGAGATTGGCCTTGAAGGTCGTGCCCTCTTAATATGACTAGCATCATCTACAACACTGTACTGTGCACTGTATGTGGCCACTAAAGATAATATTAAACTAAATGGAATGTTGCTTTAGCATAGAGGATACAGAAATCCATTCACCCAGTTGCTGTCTTTTAACTTCTCCCGTATGGTATTTTCTATGGTGAGTTACTTCCAAAGTGGAAAAGAGACTTTTATGGCTAGAGACTTTTGTGGCTAACACACTGATGCTTCATTGTGTCTGTGGTGCTGATCTTTAAGTGACTCTTCTCAGCCAGCCTCTATAGGCTGTAAAATGTGTTTAACATGTGTACATTTCATCCACCACCACCACCATCCCTGACTAAGTCCAAGTTGGGCTGGTTTCTTCCCCTTTTTTGTGCACATATTGAACCATGTCTTTTTTTCTGCTATAGAACATTTAATTCTTCATAGAACTGGCTAAGTCTGTCTTACCTACTTAACACCTTGCACTTACTGTACCCTCAAATGTTTGAATGTGCTTAAACAGGAGATATTCTAGTTATGGGACTGATCCCAAAAGCTATGATTTAACTCTTAGGAGGGCTTTTTAGAATGTCAGAAATGCTTGAACTTGAGCCACTTATGCAAAGAATCTCACATAAAACCCAATGTTTATATTTTTCCTGGAGATTAAAAACTATGGCAAACAGGAGTATTTTGGAAGGCAGCTATGCTCACCACTATACCACCAACGCGGCCGACAGTAGAATTTTGGAACCAGAGAGAAAAACTTGTTGCCAAAATGTGTTTCTGATATGTTTTAGAATAAAACCTTATTTTGCAAACAGAAAAACAGGCTAGGTAGCCCAAGCTGATTAGCCCACACTATCGCCAAGTTGACTGGATGGGCGCCATCTTTGTTTAAAATTGAGCACGTGTCACTCTGGGCTCTGGGGCTGCCTGCATTTGGAGGCCCAGATCTGACATTATCGTCTTCTGACTACACAGAAGGCAAACTCAGAGTTTCCCTAGACAGATAGTAGGTAAGTAACAATTTTATTGAAACGAAACCAAACTTAGGGACAAGATACTTTTAAATTTATGAACAACATTCTTTGTCACTAATTGAGAGTCATTTGTGATTTACCTGAAGTAGAAATCAATGTGGGGGTTAGCTGGACAAGTGTGCTATTAAAAAGTCATCTTGAAAGTAGTGGCCCAAAGATTTTTACTGGTATTTTTTATGATAATATACAGGTACTATGCAGCAAATGTTTGTATGTACCTGTTACCATACTAATTACTTTTTAGTTTGGAACTTTTGCGGTAGAATCTTACCAATGGTGGTCTCACATTTTGGAGCCCTTTGAAATTAACTTCCTACGTGATTTACTTGTAAGATTTTTATTTATAGATATGAGTCAGCAACTTCCTATACCATGGTATCAAAAAGGCATTTAGACATTTTAACTGATTTTTCTGCTAAATGAACTTCTAACTTACTGAGAGCCAAAACCAGTGAATGTCACAAGATTGTAATTAAACAGGAACATAAATGATAGCAAGTTAATACCTGGCAATTTTGGGGGTCATTGCTAATTTAAATATGGCATTCTTGCAAAAGGGGCTTATCTCTCTCTCTCTCTCTCTCTCTTTTTTTTTTTTTTATTTTTGAGGCAGAGTCTTGCTTTGTTGACCAGGCTGGAGTGCAGTGGCACGACCTTGACTCACTGCAACCTCTGCCTCGCAGGCTCAAGCGATTCTCCTGCCTCAGCCTCCTGAGTAGCTGGGATTACAGGCGCCCACCACCACACCAGCTAATTTTTGTATTTTTAGTAGAGATGGGGCTTCATCATGTTGTCCAGGCTGGTCTCGAACTCCTGACCTCAGGTGATCCGCCTGCCTCGGCCTCCCACTGTGCTGGGATTTTAGGCGTGAGCCACCATGCGCGGCCTCAGCCTCTACATCTGGTCTCAGCTTACTCTTCATTTGGATTTTTCTTTATCATAGTGTTTCTCAAAACTAGTTTGTGTCTCATTTTAAGAATTACCTGGAGTGCGTATTAAAATATAGATTCCTGAGCCCAAAATTCAGTTTTGGAAGGGGCCCAGGTATTGCATTTCTAGCAAATATCCCAGCTAGTTTTGATGCACATTGAAGCTTAAGAACTGCTACTTACACTTACTGAAAGAAAAGGAAATGTTATCCTTTTTGGGCATCCATATCCCCATGTGTAAAATAAGGATGGTACCTGCTCACATCACATCACAGAGTTGCTGTGATGATGAAAACCACAGGTTAGCTTAGTGTGACACTTAAGGGCTTGGAGCTTTGGAGTAAGTCAGTTCCAGGTTCCAATATCAGTTTTTCTCCTATGGTTTTGCCTCTTGCTAGCTTTGTGACCCAGAACAAACGGCTTGATCTCCATTCTGCTCCCTGTACAATGGGGACAAAAGTGCCATACATGGTGGTCATATTAGGAGTATTTACAATGATGTTTGTAAAAGGTGTACAGTGCTTGTCTTATGAATGATGACTGTTGTTACTTGTTTTTACAAATACAGCCTCACAGACCAAAGTGAGGGAGAAATCATAAGTGTGTATAGTTAACACTTGGGGAATGAGCTGCTTTTTGTATATCAAGATAAAGCAGCTGCTCTACTACCATAGAGAGCTTGGGTTTTGAAGGGTGAGTTTTTGAAGGTTTGCCCTGATGAGCCCATCTGTGAATACCTCCCTGCAGCCAGTGGTATTTGGATGTGCAGTTAGATGTCTCAGATGACAGGTGTATGCTAAAACAGAGAAATGACCCCCAGTTTATGCTAGGTGTTGGACTTAACAGAATTGTGACCTAACCAGCTGTACTGACTCTTAGCCATTGATGAGATTGTCAATAAGGAAATAGTATGTATTTAGTTCTTTTGCTGAAAAAAGACTATCTGCTTTTTAGATCAATAATTTGAAATATAAATACAGTCTTAGCCAAAACCCAAGGTAGAATCAGAAGTAGGAATAAAACTTAGATTTTATCCTATCATTAAGTTACTGTGACTGGTATCAGTTTTTAAGGTTTCTTTCTGATTGTTGTATTTTGTAGAAACCCTCTTCATAAACTCGCCAAAGAATTATTCATATGCTTTATCTTCTTTTCTCAGCCAAATGTACTCACTGTTCGAACCAGAGAATTCTGGCCAAACTTTCTATTGCATTGAATACATGCATTGGTTTGTCTTGCAGGTATTTTTTTTTTGTGGAGAAAAATGGGGCCATTTAGTGACTCTTCATCTTCCTTTTTCTCAGTCTGGTAGTGGCGCCAATGAAGAACCTTCAGAACCTGTAGCACACGTCCTGGAGCCGGCACAGCGCCTTTGAGGGAGAGAATGGCCCAACAAGCGAATGTCGGGGAGCTCCTCGCCATGCTGGACTCCCCGATGCTGGGTGTGCGGGACGACGTGACAGCTGTCTTTAAAGAGAACCTCAATTCTGGTTAGCAAAATAATATCCTTTTAGCTTATCTGCTAAAAAGAAGAGATTGACTTAGAGCCACTAGAATCCTGCTGATAATTTTAGTTTTCATCTTCTGAAGAGTTTTTTAAACACCCAAAGAGAGTATCTATATGTGTTTTAAACTTTCAATTATGGAAATACTCAAGTATGCCCACACATGAAGTAAGAATCATGTAGTGAACCCCATGAACCCAGTTTCAAATTCTTTCCTCCCTGACTCTCCCACCCTCCAAATATTTTAAAGCAAATTCCAGACATCGCTTTAACTGTAAATCATATACGTGGTTTTTAATATGAAAAGTGCTTAACCTCTTTTTATTATGAGAAATACAAATTTAAATAGTACCCTTTTTTGCTTACCAGGTTGGCAAAATTAAATACTGAGTATAGAGATGGGCACCGTGAGCAGGAATGTGAATTGATGTTCAGCCGTTTGGAGTATCAGTCATCAGTTTTAAAACACATACCATTTGGGCCATTTATAAGAATCTGTATCTTATTATAGCTTCGAGTGAAGTATAGTGAGAAATTGGAAAAACCCAAGTATCCTTCAGTAGGTGAATGGTTAAATTAGTTATATGGAGCCATGCAGTAGAACACTTGGAGGACGGAAAGAAATGAAATAGGCCATAGATGCTGACATGGGAAGGCGGTTACAACACATTGTTCAGTGGAAAAAACACACATGCACAAACTGTGTCTGCGTCTGTGGACATAAGGGCTGTATGTGTGCGATTATACAAGTAGAAAAAGGTTTGAAGAGACACAGTCTAAACTTAAGGGTGTTTATCTGTGAAGAGTGGGTTGGGAGGCAGGTGGCGAGGAGCACTTTCACTTTTATTTTATGTACTTTTACATCGCCTGAATTTTTAATAATAGATGTGGATTATTTTTTGTAATTAAAAAAGCAATAGAGGGCCGGGCGCGGTGGCTCACGCCTGTAATCCCAGCACTTGGGGAGGTCGAGGTGGGTGGATCATGAGGTCAGGAGATCGACACCATCTTGGCCAACATGGTGAAACCCCATCTCTACTAAAAATACAAAAATTGGCCGGGTGTGGTAGCTCACACCTGTAATCCCAGCTACTCGGGAGGCTGAGGCAGGAGGATCACCTGAGGTCAGGAGTTCGACACCATCTTGGCCAACATGGTGAAACCCCATCTCTACTAAAAATACAAAAATTGGCCCGGTGTGGTAGCTCACACCTGTAATCCCAGCTACTCGGGAGGCTGAGGCAGGAGAATGGCGTGAACCCGGGAGGCGGAGCTTGCAGTGAGCCGAGATCATGCCACTGCACTCCAGCCTGGGCAACAGAGCGAGACTCCATCTCAAAAAAAAAAGCAATAAAAATAAAAGGACTTCATATGTTTTTATGCATATTTAGGCAAATAAGCTTGGGATTATCCTATTATTAAGAAGGCAGAAATGTAATGCTGCATAACACTTAGAATAGCTTATAAAGAAATATTTTCTAGATTTTGTGACAGGCAGCTGTGTAAGGTAAATTTAGGATGTTAAGGGGAGTAAGTATCATCCATTGCCCTTTTCTTGATTTAGACCGTGGTCCTATGCTTGTAAACACCTTGGTGGATTATTACCTGGAAACCAACTCTCAGCCGGCGTTGCACATCCTGACCACCTTACAAGAGCCACATGACAAGGTAACGGCTGACGTGTCGTAGGCATTTCATATGTTCTCCATGAGTACAACAGCTTCTGTGCATGGCCACTGTGCAATTTATCCCGAGCTTATTCTTTTGATTTCTGTGTGCTACTGATGACATTGTTCCCAGTTTATAACTATATATAAAAATTAATTTGTAGGACCCATGATTCTTGAAAAGTTTACAAAATAAAACATATTTCAGAGACTGTTAAAGATCTTGTTTAAAGAAATCTTACATTTCCAGTACTATAATTGTATAGTGATGGTTTGGCCCATAGATACCCATATTTCAACCCATACTTTGAATAGGATTTTTAGACTTTTATCAATATGGAAAAGCTTCAAGTACAAAGGACTTACATGGCAAATTAATGAGTCTTGTTTCCTAGCATCAGGTACTTGGAGGGCTCCTTCATGTTTTCCTTTTGTTTTTAGTAAGTAGGTAATAAAGCATTGTTATTGCAGACTTTGGTAAGTCTTAAGTGTGTATATGAGAGCAACTTCCCCAGGATTTGAAGACCTTGTATTGCATGCCTTTTGCAGTATATCTTGTTTTGTTTTGTTTTCTAAAGAGGTGGGGTCTCATTCTGTCGCCCAGACTGGAGCATAGTGGCACAATCATAGCTCACTGTAACCTTGAACTCCTGGCCTCATGCTGTCCTCCTGCCTCAGCCTCCCAAAGTACAGGGATTGCAGGCATAAGCCACTGCGCCTGGCCCATCTTGTTTTTTTATTTACTCTGGTCTGAGTCGTTACTTCTACTACCTAATTGATACTTGAGATCAAACCATGTAGGTTGGGTTGCTCTAGCAATAAGTGGCTGCTTCCAGCGGGATGCCCTCATGGCTTCAATAACCTAACACAGTTTGGCACTAGTGGTTATTGAGGGACTGTGAACAAGTCTCCCCCTTTTTGCATGCGTGTATTGTAGGATCCTTTTTCATGAGTTGCAAACTGGCTGCCTTTTGTCAGGCCAAATGCAGCAGTGTTTTGTTTGCTAACGTGATTTTTAAAATGCTGAATTTGATCTTTTATCTGCATGAGCCTTGCTTTACATTAGAACAAGACTTGAGAGACTGGAGCACATCATTGTTGTCTTTATTTTTGTTAACCTCATATATTCATGTGAGGATTTCCCTTCTTCTTTTGCATTTTCAGCACCTCTTGGACAGGATTAATGAATATGTGGGTAAAGCCGCCACTCGTTTATCCATCCTCTCGTTACTGGGTCATGTCATAAGACTGCAGCCATCTTGGAAGCATAAGCTGTCTCAAGCACCTCTTTTGCCTTCTTTACTAAAATGTCTCAAGGTAGGATGTTTGTAAGGATTTGAATGAAATGGCTTTATGAGTAGTTTCTGAAATTTTAAGTAACTTAGAGCAAGGAAGCTAGATTTTAACTTTTAGAGTTTAAAACCTTCTAGGCATTTGGCTTTTCTCAAACAGAATGTTGTCTAGAGTTGGTACTTAGTAAGTTCTCAAATATGTCACTGTGACTGTTGAATACCTCGTCCACGCAAATATGGAAAAATTTCGATCAGATGGGTTCAATGTTACATTATTCCAAACCTCTTGATTTCATCATCGTTTAGCCTTCCCTCATTTAAAAATATCCTGGATTATCTTTTGGGAATCCCTGTTTCTAAATTATCTTTTAGCTAATAGAAGAATGGCTTAAAGTTTCTATTAAACATTTAGGAATATGGTCTGGTTGCAGCTATAATTCAGATTTTGTTGATGTAAGTTCCACTAAGTTGCATTCAATTTTTGGCACTAAATTTAGTTCATTTTTCTATATAGGGAATCAAAATCTAAATAGAACTTTATGGTTTTAGTTTTAACAGTGGTGTGCAGCCATACTCAGGGTTATTTGTTTAATCTGTTTTAGTTCCTGGACTTGTTTTCTATCTATAAAATAAGAAAAATGTGGTTAATATTAACTGCCTGTACCTCACAGAGACATGAAAATATCCAGTAGTATTTGTTCCAGGATGGCAGTACCATTGGATTCATCTGATACAGCACCATGCAAATTGATTTTTGTGTCTGCCAAGAAGGGTAACTCTTTTATTATCCCTAGAGGTGGGTCCCAAGGAGTCACATTGGTAGGGTATTATAAAAACGTGCGCTTAATTCTGAAAAAATAGGAACAGTTTTAACAACTTAATGTTTTTTAAGCAAATTGATTGATGAGAATATAATCTAATTAATGGATTGGTGAGAATATCATCTAATTAATGGATTGATGAGAATATAATCTAATTTTGAGGCACATCATTTAGTTCAGATTGCAAAACACTTATCTTTTCCAAAAGAGTAAGTTTTGAATATTAATCATGGACGAGTCTTCAGTTAGACCGTTAGGGTAAATGAAATCAGGGCTAGTTCTTTTTGCTGAGAATCATTATGTAGTCTCATATACTCTCAATTCTCCTACCAATATATTATTCTTACTGGATATCTTCCATAATGAAAGACTTGATGCTTGATGTAAAAATCAAAATATATTTAAAACTTTATTCCCAGACTCATAGATTCTTATTCTAATAGGAATAATGGATGTCTTAACCTACATAGTAGTCTTTTGATTAATATCTTGTTTCATAAATCTGAATTTCACCTACCTGGCAAACATTCATGATTTAATTATGGTTCAGGTGAGCTGCTATAGCTAGCTAGTCAGAGTTGATTGAGTATTCATTGGGTGTTAAGTGTCTTCAGTTAGCCTGAAGTTATTTATTTGACTTAATATTTAAACTATAGGCATACTCAAAGGTTTCCATATATATATATTTTAGTTTACTGGTCTCTAAATACTGCTTTGAAGTGAGCCTTTAAGTTGACTTGTTAGTGCTGTACTAATTTCTCCTTCAGTTATACTTCTGTTGTAGTTCTTTAAAAAATAGTAAGTTACGTGTCAATGTGTAGTGTTTTTTTGTTTTTTTTTTTTAATTAACAAAAAGTAAATATCTTAAGATTTGGTTGAATGAATGAAAACAGAGCAGTGCTCCTGTGTTTTGTTTAAGAGCAACTCCTTTTGTTTTCATCCAAGTGCTATAAATAGGGCATCCTAAGGCTTCAGGACTTGAGTGTCTGCAAGTCAAGTTTGAACTCATCTCCTGGATACCTTTGCATAGGTGTGTTGTAAATGGTCCTCACTGACTCATTACAGTAGAGCTGGGTCTCAGTGTTCCTGTTCAGTCTGTTTGAATGTTGTCCCCTCAGTAATCCTTACGGATAGGGAAATGAGTATGTGAGTCAACTTGTGATTTGTGATTCTCTCAGTGTTTAGAGCCTCTTCACATACTGTACAATGCCGATCCTGGTGCCAGTGCCTGACAGACGTTTCCTGTTTGACCTTTTCTCCTGCAGATGGACACTGACGTCGTTGTCCTCACAACAGGCGTCTTGGTGTTGATAACCATGCTACCAATGATTCCACAGTCTGGGAAACAGCATCTTCTTGATTTCTTTGACATTTTTGGCCGTCTTTCATCATGGTGCCTGAAGAAACCAGGTACAGATCTCCTCATATACCTATTGGGCCCTGTGAGGTGAATGCTTTCGTTATTGATTAATTGCTCATATGCTGTAAGGAATGGACATGTAGACTTTTATAGCTGAAATGAGTGGTTTTTACCAGACAGATGAGGGAATACCTTGAGTGCATCCACTACAGGCACATATAAGAAACATGACTGTTGAGATAACTTTTTAATTTTGTTGGCTTAAAAGGATTGGTTGTCAGAGAAATTGAGCAGTAGGATGTAAAACTTCATGATTGTTGATTAACTGAAAAGCAGCCTCCGTCTGTATTGCAGCAGTACAGGACTAAGCTTGTGGGACATTTCTGTCTTCCTTTTCTGCTGTGTTGTGACAGAGCACAAATGTCAGGTTTGAGAACCCACTCGTTGTACCATAGGAGTCAGAGGGAAATGCGAGGTGTCGTGATTAGCACTCCAATTTCAAATGCAGTGGGGTTTTTTTGTGTTTTTTTTTTCCCCTATCGGCAGGTAGCAGAGCTCTATCAAAGGAATCAGAAGCTGTAAGCATATGAAATTTGGAATCTTTGGGTTATCCCAGTGTGAGGTATTCCTATCAAAAGGGTGAAGTCTGTCAGACCTATGAGACAGAACACTGTGGCTTCCTGTACAGGATTCAGTTACAAGCATAGGCCCACGTGGTGCCTGCTTGTTTAGTAGAATCTTTGGGAGAAAGGAATGGTCTGTTCATTATTGTGGAGAAACTTTACGTATACTGTGGCCATGGGTTTCCACAGGGTCTAGGTAAGGCTAAATTAAGATGTTCAATTTCTTTCACTCTTAGTTCTTTAAGCTAATTTCTAGATAATAGTTTTTTTCACTCTGTAATTATAAATCTACATAGCTAAGACTACATACTGATTTAAAGGATTCTCACACATTCATTCTGTAAATATTGAGTGCTTGTTAAATACCAGGTCCAGTGCAAAGCACCGAGAGATGAGTAAGACAGTTTTTTTCCTCAGGAAGCTCATGCTGAATTCAGCAGTGGAAAAGTATAAATTTTACAGAGATCTATCATCATAAAGATAGTTCAGTATTGAGAGAATGTTTGGGATCCTTTTTGGGCAGTGGCTGGAGAGGAGGGCAGAAGTTAGATCGGGAAGGGCTTTCATGGATCACACTAGTAGATTGGAGTTTATCCAAAGGTTATAGGGAGCCATCGATGGAGATAAGGGTGTCTGGTGTGTCCAGATTTGTTTGCATTTTAGAAAACCACTCTTCCTGTCTTTGCAGTGAGGTGGGAATATACATAGATAAAAAGTCATGCTGGCAGCCACTTGTTTATATCTGTTTTGCACACCTCAATCTGTGTCCAACTAAGAGGCTTTTCTCAACGGGTTCCTTTTCTAGGCCACGTGGCGGAAGTCTATCTCGTCCATCTCCATGCCAGTGTGTACGCACTCTTTCATCGCCTTTATGGAATGTACCCTTGCAACTTTGTCTCCTTTTTGCGTTCTCATTACAGTATGAAAGAAAACCTGGAGACTTTTGAAGAAGTGGTCAAGGTAAATTAAAACTGCTTGTTTGTTTGCTACTTAGCATACTGTTTAGATAGGCTGCATTTATACCTTTTGTATTTAATGGCAGACAGGAAAATTTTGAAAAGAAATTCCGTTTTCTTCCTCCCGACTCCAGTCCCTAGCCAGCCACTAATCTGTTTTCTGTCTTAATAGATTTGCCTATTCTGGACAGTTTGTGTAAATGGGATCATATAATATGTGGTCTTTTGTGACTGGCTTCTTTAACTTAGTATAATGTTTTTAAGGTTCCATCCGTGTTGTAACATGTATCAGTACTTCATTCCTTTTTATTGTCAACTAATATTCCATTGTTTAGATGTTTCACAAACATTCAGCCATTTATAATTTGTCAACTCAACTCTTCTAGCCAATGATGGAGCATGTGCGAATTCATCCGGAATTAGTGACTGGATCCAAGGACCATGAACTGGACCCTCGAAGGTATAGAAACTAGTGTCAAAATTTTAAAGAATCTTTTGAGAGATTGAAAATGTGATCTAGGAGGTAATCCCTGTTGAGGTATATTTGGGAATATAGATGTTCTACTTACAGAATCAGTCCGCTTGGAAGCACTCGTACAGCTAAAATTTGTGTGAGTTTAAAACATACTCTTCACAGGTGGAGGACATTTAATAACATTTAGCAGAGTGGAGAAAGTTGCAGCACAAGTGCCTGTCCCCCAGAAAGGCTTACACCTCAGTAGTGCCAGTGATGGGGCGATGAAGGAGGTGAAGCATATGGCTAAAAACAAGGGGATTGCAGAAAATACATAAATCTGGCTTTGCAGAATGGAGAAGGGACTTCAGGGAGTCCTATATTATTTGGAGTCCCTGAGATCCTTTCTCCATTCTGCAAAACCAGGTGACTACCATCCTCCCCAGGGCCCTACAGAGTCCCCCAGGTATGTTCTTTGGAAAAACTGAACCTTTGAGACCCTTGATTGGAGGATTCCAGGCACAGTGGAGAGTGGAACTGAGGGTAAGAGTGAGGGAGATAGAGGAAATTTACAGACTGAGCTGTGGGAGGCCCAGCTCCGTCCCTCTGCTTGTCTCTGCCTGGTAGCCAGGCTTATTATGCTCCCCACTTAGGAGACCCGGCCCTTTCTGGGGAAACTGACCCATGGATATTGGCACTTGGGGATCTCCTGCTGAAAAAGCTGGCTCACTGTCTGATCCCCCAACAGCGAATCTTACCTCTCCATAGACACTGCCTCTACCACACAGAGCCTCAGCCAGCTTAAAGCAGTTTAGTGTGAGATATATGTAGAGAAGTACAGAAAATGTGTATATAAAGTTTGATAATGACACAAAAACACATGTAGCTGGCACCTAGCTTAACAAAACAGAACATTACCTTAGAGGCTCCCCATGGAGAACCTCTTCTTTCTCCCTGCTACCTCAGAGACAACTACCATTGTTGCTTTTAATAATTCTCTTGCTTTTCTTTATAGTTTACTGTAGGTATTGCTTTGTTTTGAAAAGCTAGTTGATTAGGAAGCAAAGCCTAGTTAAGAGAAGGTCAGTCTTGTCACTAGCAGTTGAAGGTTTGCAGGAGATGAGAGGAGGAGCAGCGCATATGAGTCTTGGTGTGGTTTCACTGTCCCTGAGGTTTCACAGCCCCTTCTGGGAAGTCAACGCACAAGGTCATGAATGAGTCTGGGAAACACAAGGCTTACCCTCATCACAGCGTCTGGCAAAGCTTCTAGCAAGGACAAGATACTGGACATGCGTGAAATATGGCAGGCGGGGAGGCTGCTCTCTGTGCCTGCTTTCAGCTCCCAGGAATAGGTCAGACAGAATCCTTCTGTGGGATAAAATGAATGTCCTCTGCTGATCAAGCAGAGAAGGGAGAGTAGGAATTTCATCAGTATGTAGTTAAGACAAGCTAAGTACAGACAAATTATACAGGCCAGGGTCACCTGGCTCTGTCCCTCATTAAAAAGATAGTGCAGGACAGCAGGAACTTTGAGACATGCCTGTCTCTTGGCAGGTACTGTTCTGATCCGAACTGGTTCTCGTCTGTACCTAGTACCCAGCTGTCATCCTAGTCTTCTGAGGCTTTCCTTCACCTCTCTCCTGTGCAGGATCTCTCATTTACTGTATCTTGTCTTCTTGGTTTACTCTTGTTTAATAGGACATATCATCTAGGAGCTTTTTGAGGAGGGATGCAGTTGTTTGGCTGGTGTAGACTTACAGGTTGAGAGTTAGTAATATGAAGGTATTATTCCATTGCCACCCTGCTTCCAATGTTGCTCTTGGAATTTCTGATCATCTGTATTTGCTGTGTTTTTCTCTAGGGGAGCTGGTGTTCTCTTTGTTGTCATTATATTCTGAAATTTCCAGTGATGTACGTTGGTGTGAATCTATTCTCATTGTTTAAGCTGGAAGCTCTTCAAGTTCTATGATATTTTCTTTAGTTATTTTGTGCTTGATTGCCTGTTTTCTCTGTCTTTCCTTCTAGAAATCCAGTTCATCTATGCACCACATAATGACATTTCAGTCAATGATGGGCTCCACAGATGATAGTGGTTCCGTGAGATTATACCACCACATCTTTACTGTACCTTTCCTGTGTTCAGATATGTCTAGATACACAAATACCTTCTGTTGTGTTACAGTTACCTACAGTATTTAGTACAGTACCATGCTGTGCAAGTTTGTAGCCTAGGAGGCTGTAACATCTAGGTTTGTGTGAGTACACTCTGATGTTCCCACAGCAAAGAAATTGCCTAATGATGCATTTCTCAGAACATGTCACTGTCGTCAAGTGACACATGACTATGTACATATATAAGGAGTTTTCTTTTCCCTGCATAGTCTGTTTCTTTTCAGCTTCCTTCTTTTCTGTTTTGTGTTATTCTTTTTAAATCTTTGAGGCCTTCTGCAAGGATCTAGTAAACTGTTTATATATGGGGAGACAAAACAGCTTTGTTCACAGTGGTGGGACTTGTTGACTTTGAGCTTTGTTGTATGTTGAACTGAGCATCTGTTGGAAATAGTGGTGTCGGTATTGTTTTCTTCTTGAGCTGGTCACATTTTTTAGAAAATAGTCTTCTGATTTTCAGACTGGTAAGCGTCTGACTGCCCCTGGGGGGAAAGAGGCGGGTAGTGAGGAGGGGTTGGTGGTCTTGGCATTTAGGATGTATATGCTTCACTTAATCCCCTTATTTGGAATGACACTCATGCCCTCAACTATTTCTGGAATACCTTATCCAGGCATTCCTTGTTTTATTCTCTCTAGAGAATAATCCAGATTTCTGGTGAGAAAAGAGCTATTGTTCAGGAGTGTAGAGTTGGGGCAGGACCCAGGGGCTGTGACTGCTCCTCCAGTGGTTTTCACCCTGTCTTCAGTATTTTAGCTCCCCTTGTCTACCTGCTGTTCATCTGCTGTTCCAGAAGTACCAGATGCTGTAAATTCCTTATGATTTTAAGGATTCTGTAGTATAATCAGTTGACTCTTCACTTTGAGACAGTGGCAGCTTAGGATTCTGCTTTTGTGGATTTGTAGTGTCAGTTACCACTTGCCTGTCTGTATTTTAGTTTCAAAAACTTCTGGTTCTGTTCTCTCTCTCCTGTTCTCCTCCTTGTGGGTTTATATTGAAAAACAAAGAAGTCTTTACTGTAGACAGTGGGATTCCAGGAGGCTGTACAGTTGGGTGCATACATTCAACCAACTATATTAACTTGGAAGATTCCTTAGTCAGCTTATAGAGAGCCTCACTCACCTTGGCTAGGCAGATTGCTTGGCTTTGGAAGAAGGTTTTAACACTAAAGACAGACACCAACATAAAGAGGAGAAAAGAGAGCTAGAACAAAACCATAATGATAGAGCAGAAGAAAATATTACCATAGTAATATTTTATTGATATTACCAAATATATTACCAAATATTACCATAGCCACAGAGATAAGGCATCTGTGCATATGTAAGCAGCAGGATGCCACAGAAAAAGACCATTTTGAGACTAAAAGAACTCTTCAAAATTAAAAATGATAGCCAAAATAAACATTTCAGTAAAAGAATTGGGAGATAAAGTTGATATCTCAGACATCAGCTTTTCCAAGATATAGATAAATATCTCAGCAGAACCAAAGGATAGAGCTGGGTAATATGAGCAGAATAGAAATTTAGAATGATCAGCCCAGGAAGTCCCAACATCCAATTAAATTTTTTTTCTTTTTTAAAGAAGAGCCGAGTGCAGTGGCTCACACCCGTAATCCTAGTACTTTGGGAGGCTGAGGCGGGCAGATCTCTTGAGGTCAGGAGTTTGAGACCAACCTGGCCAACGTGGTGAAACCTCGTCTCTACTAAAACTGCAAAAAATTAGTCGGGCATGGTGGTGGGTGCCTGTAATCCCAGCTACTTGGGAGGCTGAGGCAGGAGAATCATTTGAACCTAGGAGGCGGAGGTTGCAGTAAGCTGAGATTGTGCTGCTGCACTCCAGCCTGGGTGACAGAGCGAGACTCTGTCTCAGAAAAAAAGAGAGAAGAAAACTTTGGTGGAGAAAGAAATTGTAAAAGAAATAATACAACAAAAAAAATTCCTAGGATTGAAGGATGTGAGTTTCCAGATTAAAGGGGCTTACCTGGTGCCCAACTAGGTCTCAGTGTTGTAGAATTTTAAAGTACCAGGGATTAACCTTTCAGAGAAAGAAAAAAACGAAATCACATTAATAAGGATCAGAAATCAGAATGCTATTAGCTTCTGAAATACCTTCAAAATTGTGAGAAAAAGGTTTTCAACTAGAATTCTATAGCCAGCCAACTCGTCTATCAAATATGAGACACTTTTAGATATGCATGGACTCAAATTTCCTTCCCATATATCCTTCCTCAGTTAATGACTGGAGCATGTATTCCACCAAAATGAGAGTAAAATCATGAAAGAGGAAGATAGAATCCAGGGGACTGGGGCCTGATCATGACCCTTTTACAGGACCATGTCCAGGGAAAGTGTCAGGATAATAGGCAGTGCTGAGAGCAGCCTGTCCAATCTGAAGCGGGGGAGAAAGTGCTCCAGAAGGGAGCTCTTCAGGGAGATGAGGAATGATCCTGGTGTATTCTTTGCATTTCATTAATAAAAGTTATATTAGGCATTGTTTCAGAGCTGTTAGAATACATTTAGGAAAAATTAGCAATAGACACACAAAAAGGTGAGGAAGAGACACAGAACAATTAAAACTTACAATAAAGGAAATATTATCATAGTATACTCTGTGGCTCAGCCATGAGTAGTACTTAGGTAGTCATAATGTTGAAATCAATTTTGAAAACAACAAGAACAGTTACATATTTATTTTGAGAGCATTGAGGAGGAGGGAAAGGATATATGGAAGAGATCTCAATCCTCACTTCCCATAATAGTAAGTTAATAGATGGTGTCTGTAATTTATAAATCACGAAATTAAAAGCACAGGGCATATTCTTGAGAACTATAGAGGCGGGATAACAATTCAGCTAACAGAATTGGAAGCAGCTGCCAGAGTGGTTGCAGGGGGAAGGGATGGGAGGAAACTTCAGTACTGTATTGACTTTTTAAACTACCGTATTTCATTGGATCTCAGATGCCGTTAGATGTGTGGTATACTTCTATTTTATATACATCTGAGAAAGAAAAAAATGCCCAGTAAACTAACATGCATTTGATTAGACGATGGTTCCCAGTTTTATATATTAAAATATGAAAAGTCCTTTTAAGAATCAGGGAAATATTGTAAGTGCATAAATTACTTTGATTAAAATAAAACATTTAAATGTATTCCTCTTTTATTATGATTCTCATTTTCTCCTCTAAAATCAATCTTCTTATGTGTACACATGTGTCCTAACGCCTGCTCTCACTTAATCACTTTCGAGTCATGCTGAGAATGCATAAATAGGAGCCTGTCCCCATTAACAAGATCCCACAGGCAGTGAGAACCCAGGTAGTGAATGAAGAGGCAGCCCTGAAATCGAAATACTTACTCCTTAGTGAAGCTGCCTTATATTCTCCCCATGCCCTGGATACTTTCTTTTCTGTATTTAATACCATATTTTCAGCATCTAAGATATAATAAGCTTTCTACAGCAGTTGTGTAGGATCACATGTTTTGTTAAGGTAAACCTATGGAGTGCCCTTAGTGGTGCTGTGCTGTTTTCTGTAAACTCGGAAAAAAAATGCAAATCTCTGGTGGAGTTACTAACCACCTTAGAAACACATAGAGCAAAGTTATGTTGTCTAAAAGGAAATAGTTTATACTTGACTAGGCGTTCAATTTTAAATATTCTGTTAATTATTAGGGCCTTTATAGAATGTTTGACAAATACTGAAGAGTTGAAAGAATAAATGAACATTGTTCGTAACTTCAGTTCTTTTAATTTGAATACTTACTACAGTCAGATCTATTTGCGGGTGTGTCTCTGAATAACTTTGTGTCTTTTTTCATTTAAGATTATATTATAAGCATTTTATGTCATTTAATGTTTGAAAGCATTATTATTTTTTGCAGCAGGGTCTTGCTAGGTTGCCCAGGCCAATCTCGAACTCCTGGGCTCAAGTGATCCTCCTGCCTCAGCCTCCCCGGTGGCTGAGAGTACAGGCACGTGGAAAGCATGATTTTTTTTTCTTTTTTTTCCTGAGACAGTCTTGCTGTGTTGCCCAGGCTGGAGTGCAGTGGCACAATATGGCTCATGGCAGCCTCAACCTCCCAGGGTCAAGCTGTCCTCCCACCTCAGCCTCCTGAGTGGCCAGACCATGAGCATATGCCACCACGCCCAGTTGTTGTTGTTGTAGAGATGGGGTGTGGTCTCACTTTGTTGCCCAGGCTGGTCTTGAACCACTGGCCTCAAGTGATCCTCCTGCCTTGGCCTCCCATAGTGCTGGGATTACAAGTGTGAGCCGCCGTGCCCAGCTGAAAGCATCATTTTTTTTTTTCTTTTTTCAGAGTCTGGCCCTGTTGCTCAGGCTGGAGTGCAGTTGCGCTTTCCTGGCTCTCTGCAACTTCCACCTGCCAGGTTCAAGTGATTTTCGAGTCTTAGCCACCCAAGTAGCTGGGATTACAGGTGCATGCCACCATGCCTGGCTAATTTTTTTTTTTTTTTTTTTGTCTTTTTTTTAAAGGTGGGGTTTTGCCACGTTGCCCAGGCTGGTCTTGAACTTGGCCTCAAGTAATCCGCCTGCCTTGGCCTCCCAAAATGCTGGGATTACAGGTACGAGCCACCGCACCCGGCCTTGAGTATGGTTTTTAAAATCAACTTTAGTATGGCATAATTTGCTTACAATAAAATTAATCAATTTTGCTAAGTTTTGACAAAAGTCCCAATCATAATAAAGTACATTCCACCATCTCAAAAGTTCCTTTGTGCCCTTTGTGGTCAGTCTCTTCCCCCACTTCTTGCGACCATCGATCTGCTAAAAGCATGCTTTTTCAGGGGGTGTAATAATAGTTATTCTATAGAACATATCCCTTTGGTTGAACTTTGGGTTATTTCCTTTCTTCTTTCCATTACAAGCTGTGCTGTGCTGGACATTGTTGTATGTCTGTTTCTATAGGATAAATTCTTAGAAGTGAAACCATGGATCACATAACAGGAATCTTTAGACAGTTTTAAAAATATTCTCGGCCGGGTACAGTGGCTCATGCCTGTAATCCCAGCACTTTGGGAGGCCAAGGCAGGTGGATCACCTGAGGTCAGGAGTTCAAGACCAGCCTGGCAAACATGGTGAAACCCCATCTCTACTAAAAATGCAAAAAAATTAGCTGGGGATGATGGCGGGCATCTGGAATCCCAGCTACTTGGGAGGCTGAGGGAGGAGAATCGCTTGAATCCAGAAGGTGGAAGTTGCAGTGAGTTGAGATCACGCCACTGCACTCCAGCCTGGGTGACAAAGCGAGACTGTATCTCAAAAGAAAAAAAAAAATCCTTATGGGAGGCTGGCATGGTGGCTCACTTCTATATGTATGTCAAGACATGCAACAGTGTTCAGCACAGCACAGCTTGTAATGGAAAGAAGAAAGGAAATAACCCAAAGTTCAACCAAAGGGATATGTTCTATAGAATAACTATTATTATACCCCCTGAAAAAACATGCTTTTAGCAGATCGATGGTTGCAAGAAGTGGGGGAAGAGACTGATCACAAAGGGCACAAAGGAACTTTTGGGGTGATGGAAATGTTCTTCATTATGATGGAGACTTTTGTCAAAACTTAGCAAGATTGATTAATTTTATTGTAAGCAAATTATGCCATACTAACATTGATTTAAAAAACCATGCCTTCAGCCGGGCACGGTGTCTTATGCCTGTAATCCCAGCACTTTGGGAGGCCAAGGCGGAAGGATCATTTAAGTCCAGTATTTTGAGACCAGCATGGGCAACAAAGTGAGACCCCATTTCTGTAAGAATATTAGCCAGGCATGGTGGTATGTGCCTGTAGTCCCAGCTACTTGGGAGGCTGTGGCAGGAGGATCCCTGAGCCTAGGAGTTGGAGGTAGCAGTGAGCCACAATCATGCCACCGTACTCCAGCCTGGGTAATAGAGGGAGACCCCATCTCAAAAAAAAAAAGAAAAAAAGAAAAAGAAAAGAAAATTATCTTGGACTTTCTTAAGTTTGTCTTTTATACTCTGTTTCTGGTCTAGGGATGGATTTGACACCTGAGGCCTTGATAGGAGACCTTAAGTCAGCCTCAGCTGCTTGGCAGTTTTCAGGTCTCCCTGTTTTTTGATGACCTTTGTTCCAAAGGGCATTTTTCCCTGCCTGCTACTCTACTGCATAGCTTACGTTCCATTTTTCCATTTTGAGGCTACGCCTAGTGAGGAAATTTTTGTTTCAGATTAGCTTGTTAACTTGATATAACCATTTTAAACAGGGAAGGTATAGGATTGTAAAATGAATGGCTATTTCTTTATGTACTAGAATTGTTTCAGACTTGGGCTGGCATGGTCCTGCTTGTTCCCTGCTATCAGAGTTCCGTGGCTGGCACTGAGTTGACACTCTGAAGTATTTAACTCTGAAGTAGTTTGTATTTCTTGACGTTCATTGTCTTTTACAGGTGGAAGAGATTAGAAACTCATGATGTTGTGATCGAGTGTGCCAAAATCTCTCTGGATCCCACAGAAGCCTCATATGAAGATGGCTATTCTGTGTCTCACCAAATCTCAGCTCGCTTTCCTCATCGTTCAGCCGATGTCACCACCAGCCCTTATGTTGACACACAGAATAGCTATGGTAAAAAGTGTCTTTGGTACTTATCTGTTTTGCAACTTTGTCTCTGGAAAACATTATTTGTCTTTGTTGACTTTCTTTTCTGGAGTAAGACTTAGTTCAGTCCCTAGGAATTTTTCCCAAAATATTTTAAATTTGCATATCCCTCCATTTTCTTCTAAATAATTTCTCCTTCAAGTTTAATTTAGATATCCTTGGTCTCCTACCTAATTGTATGCCAACAGAGTTGGTGACGAGTCTCCAACCCTTAACAAAGAAAATGGGTTCAAGTATTTGACTTCCAGGCTCTACCTCATAAGGGAATCTTTGTGATTTTCAGACACTTAGAGTGAAGCTCTGGTGGCTGTAGCACTGACACAGTTGGAATGAGTCAGAACAATTTAGACTTGGATTCGTATAAAAATCTAGGCTTCATTTGTGGGTCGCACTCACTGAAGTTGTTATCCGTACTGTGCTTTTTCAAGTTATCTTGAGGCTTAATGAGACATCAAAACTTATTGAGCTTGATTTCAAAGGAGCATTTAAAGAAACTCTGAAATGTTACTTTGTCCCCAAGGATGTCAGTTAAGTCCCTCAGATTTTTTAGGTACAGAGAATTGAATGTTATCAAATGGTCTAGAGGATTATCTTTTTTTTTTTTAATCAGAATAATCTAAAACCACACACTAACCCCCTGTGTTCTTCCCTTCCATTTTAGGGTGTGCTACTTCTACCCCTTACTCCACATCTCGGCTGATGTTGTTAAATACGCCAGGGCAGCTACCTCAGACTCTGAGTTCCCCATCTACACGGCTGATAACTGAACCACCACAAGTATGGTGTCAATTGGTGTGCCTGCTTTCTCCTCTGCTTTCTGGTGAAGCTGACCCTTTGGGTCAGATTTAGTATGTGGTTGGGAAAATTTCACACTGCTCATTTCAGGAGTCACTTTTAAGGATCCATCATATTAGCAAAGAAAGTTACTGTTGCCTCTTAGATTCATCTTGAAGTCTTGATTTATAACATGCAACTTGTTTCTTGATACACTTTTAATAAGATGCCTTTTTCTAGTTGAAAAAGCTAAATTTAAGCTGAACACTGGCCATGGATATAAACCTTGTGGATGACTTAGCATTCCTTTGCCACTGCTGATGTACTTTATTAACTTCCCAGGCTACTCTTTGGAGCCCATCTATGGTTTGTGGTATGACCACTCCTCCAACTTCTCCTGGAAATGTCCCACCTGATCTGTCACACCCTTACAGTAAAGTCTTTGGTACAACTGGTATGTATGTCTTAGGTTGGATTTGATTGGTTGGTTTTGGCCTGCTTTTAATGGCAGGAGGAGCTCTCTTTCAGATCTAAGGGACCACTTGCAGTTGTAAACTTGTTTTTGACACTTATTGCAAATCCCTGGGGCTTTCAGAATGTGTAAAGTGAACCTGAAAAAAGAGAGAGACTGATCTAGATCCCTAGAAAGTTAACTCTAGCAGCTTTATTTATAGTAATAGGCTGAAAAAAAATTGGCAGTTTTTCTAATAGTTGGGCTCAGTGTTCATATATGTTCTGCCCTTGTCTCTAAGCAGGTGGAAAAGGAACTCCTCTGGGAACCCCAGCAACCTCTCCTCCTCCAGCCCCACTCTGTCATTCGGATGACTACGTGCACATTTCACTCCCCCAGGCCACAGCCACACCCCCCAGGAAGGTGCGATCCAACTCATCTGCTATCCCTCTGCCCAAGGCACAGTGACTCACTTGAAAGCCTCACTTTGAGAAGCCTAATTATGCCAGAGAGAATTCTGACCTAAAATGCAATGGGTTTGAATCAGAATAATTGAAAATAGACTAACAAGCTGCTCTCAAGGTGTGATCTGCTGACCCCTGGGTGGTTCCAAAACTCTGCTTTGGAAGAACTCTTGTAGGGAATCCAGCAGGTCAAACCTACCTTTTTTTTTTTTTTTTTTTTTTTTTTGAGACAGTCTTGCTCTGTCGCCCAGGGTGGAGTGCAGTGGCACGATCATGGCTCACTGCAGCCTTGACCTCCCAGACTCATGCAATCCTCCTGCATCAGCCTCCCAAGTAGCTGGGACTACAGGCATGTGCCATGATGCCTGGCTAACTCTTTTTTTTTTGGGTAGAGGTGAGGTCTCACTATGTTGCCCAAGCTAGTCTTAAGCTCCTGGGCTCAAAACGATCCTCCTACCTGGGCCTCCCAAAATCCTGGGATTACAGGTTTGAGCCACCACACCTGACCAATCCCACTTTCATAACACTAAGCTGTCATTTGCCTTTCCCATTGGGTTGGCATCTGCACTGATGGCACAAATATGATGGGGGGCGAAATGGTGGCAGCTTAGCCTGAATCAAGGCAGGCATTGAAGTGTCCTATCCTAGGAGGCCTTGTATTCTTCCCTGACATCTTCTCTCCATGAAAAACAATAAAAAAAAAATTTAAAAAGTTGAGTGTTCTGTATTAAGCAGTAACCATTATTAATTTTATTAAATCTTAGCCCTTGAGAACATGTATGTGTAATATTCTTTGTGGCAAGATAGAAAATATGCATAAGGCACATATACTGCATATGCAATTATTTGAATTGAGAGGTGAACTAGCTGTCTTTTTTCATGGAGTGCCAGTTTTATTCGAAAGAACAGCTGTCTTACAAACTGGTTATTCAGACTTGGATATATGGCAGGCAGTTTCTTAAATGATGAGCTGAGTATGTAACTTCAAGATAAACAACTGACAGTATTTGTTGCCAACAATAAAATTCAACTCTCAGGTGGAAATTAGGATATTAAAAAACATGTATATGCCACCATGAACTTGATAGCTGCCCCAAGACTTTTATGAAATTGAAAAGTCTTTGGAAGCTTAGTTAGTAATTTGAGTTTTTGATATTGTGTAATGAAGTGTTTCAACATTTGGAATATGTGAATAACTTGGTGAGCCAATATTTTCAGAATGTCCAATGTATGATGTTGCAGAATCAGGCACAGGTAAAAAGCACATTCAAAGTACAAAGCAGGCTGGGCACAGTGGCTTACACCTGTAATCCTAGCACTTTGGGAGACTGAAGCGGGTGGATCACTTGAGGTCAGGAGTTCAAGACCAGCCTGGCCTATGTGCTGAAACACCATCTCTACTAAATACAGACATTAGCTGGGTATGGTGCAGGCACCTGTAATCCCAGCTACTCGGGAGACTGAGGCAGGAGAATCACTTGAACCCCGGAGGCAGAGGTTGCAGTGAGTCAAGATCACACCACTGCACTCCAGCCTGGGCAACAGAACAAGACTCCATCACACACACACAAAAAAAGTACAAGGTAGACTAGTGGATTTTAACACAGGAAAATCTCATTGTTGTGGTTTCAAATTTCACTTTGTAACTTCAAGAAACTACCACTTGTCAAATTTTGGTGTAATAACAAAGACGAGTATTTGAAAAGTCTGTCAACATATGTTTACTTTTTGCGGCTGGGCATGGTGGCTCGCTCCTGTATCCAGCACTTCGGGAGTCCAAGGGAGGTAGATTGCTTCAAGACCAGCTTGGGCAACATGCAAAACCCCATCTCTACCAAAAAAAAAAAAAAAAAAAAGAAAGAAAAGAAAAAGCCAGGTGTGGTAGTGTACATCTGTAGTCCCAGCTACTTGGGGAGCTGATGGAGGGTGGCTTGAGCCCAGGAGGCAGAGATTGCAGTGAGCCATGATCATGCCACTGCATTCCAGCCCAGGTGACAAAGCCAGACCCTGTCTCAAAAATAAAAACAGCAACACATATGTTTACTTTTGTAATTACATATCTGTGGGGCCCCAAATTTTTCTTTATACACTTCAGTCAAAATAACATATTGCAACAGATTGAATGTAGAGGTAGATACGAGAATCCCCCTGTCTTTCATGAAGCCGTATATTAAAGAGATGGCAAAAATGTTCCACTCTTCTCATTAAATTTATTTTTATTTTGGGAAATATAGTTTTTAAATAATACGTAATTTACATTAACTTGTAATGGGCTTGTTATTTTTAAGGGAATTAATAAATTTTAAAAAATTTCTTAGTTTTCTAATATAATAATTATACCTCATAAACAAAAGCTCTTGGGATTCTCCAGTCTTATTCTTCTTATTATTATTTTTTTATTTATTATTATTTTTTTTTGTGGTCTCACTCTGTCACCCAGGCTGGAGTGTAGTGGCACAATTGCAGCTCACTGCAGCCTTGACCTTCCTGGCTCAGATGGTCCTCCCACCTCAGCCTCCTGGGTAGTTGGGACTACAAACACTAGTCACCAAGCCCGGCTAACTTTTTAATTTTTTGTAGCAGTGGGGTTTTGCCATGTTCCCCAGGCTGGCCTCAAACTCCTGAGCTCAAGGGATCCACTGGCCTTGGCCTCCCAGAGTGCTGGGACTATAGGCATGGGCCACCATGCCCAGTCTGCAGTCATACAGTAAGACTATAAAGCAAGCTGCCAGGCACAGTCCCAGCACTTTGAGAGGCCGAGGCAGGCAGATCACCTGAGGTTGGGAGTTTGAGACCAGCCTGACCAATGTGGACAAATCCCCTCTCTACTAAAAATACAAAAATTAGCCAGGCGTGGTGGCGCATGCCTGTAATCCCAGCTACTCGGGAGGCTGAGGCAGGAGAATGGCTTGAACCCGGGAGGTGGAGGTTTCGGTGAGCCAAGATTGCGCCATTGCACTCCAGCCTAGGCAACAAGAGTGAAATTCAGTCTCCAAAAAAAAAAAGAAAGCAAGCATCCAAACAATTTGAGATTCACTGCACTGGGCTGACCTTTAAACCACCTTACAATATGCTCGAGAACATGTGCAATATTTTTTGCCTTGTGATATAAAGATACTTAACTTTTCAGGAAGAGAGAATGGATTCTGCAAGACCATGTCTACACAGACAGCACCATCTTCTGAATGACAGAGGATCAGGTAAAATTTCTGCATCACCACAGGCCTTGCTTGCCTCTTCTAATTGGGTTATATGTGTTTAAGAAAAGAAAGTTAACTGGAAACAAGGAAATTCTGGGCTATCCAAACTACTGAGGCCTAAAGATAATGAAACAAGTAGTGAATTCTAAAAGCTAAACTAATAATATCAAAAACAGTTTTTAAGCTATTGCAATGAAGTACCTGTATTTTGACTTGGTTAAACTATGTCTCTTTTCAGAAACATTAAGAACTGATCATTTTATTTGCTATGGGATTATTTTTGGTACTTTTAGTTATATTATTTTTAATATGTCAGTCTTTTGTAGTATCCCTAGGACAGAGCCATGTCCATAGGACAGAGCCATGTGCAGCCTTCTCTGTTCAGCAGGAAGAGTTATTACAGACATATTCTGTACAGTGTAAGCAGTTTCACATTTACAGGGATTATACTGTGTTCCTTTGACTTCAGTTGTCTTTGTTTCTCTTCAGAAGAGCCACCTGGCAGCAAAGGTTCTGTCACCCTAAGTGATCTTCCAGGGTTTTTAGGTGATCTGGCCTCTGAAGAAGATAGTATTGAAAAAGATAAAGAAGAAGGTAATGTATAGGGGATTGCTGTGAGTTGATAAAACCTGACCCTCGCTCTGCTATGAATCTGGGACTTTGTGCCAATGCTCACAGGCTTGCTTGATTTTTCTTCTCTTGATGTAACAAGATGGGTGGTTTAGTTTGGGACCTATGCCAGGTAAAGTGATGCCACTTTTTTTTTTTTTTTTTCGAGACAGGGTCTTGCTCTGTCGCCCTGGCTGGAGTGCAGTGGCACAATCATGGCTCACTGCAGCCTTGACCTCCCAGGCTCAAGCAATCCGCCCACCTTAGCCTCCTGAGTAGCTGGGACCACAGGCATGCACCACCATGCTCAGCTGATTTTTACTGTATTTTTTGTAGAGATGGGATCTCCCTATGTCGTCCAGGCTGGTCTGTAACTCCTGGGCTCAAGTGATCCTCCCGCCTCAGCCTCCCAAAGTTCTGGCATTACAGGCGTGAGCTACCATGCCCAGCCGGATGCCACTTTTTCTCCTCCCTCTCAGTGACACTGGCACGTGGCAGCATGCAACCCAAACTGCCTAGCCTTTCCCAGGTGGAATATCGACTGCCGTTTCTTTTGTTTCCTTTCTTCCTCTCAGCTGCAATATCTAGAGAACTTTCTGAGATCACCACAGCAGAGGCTGAGCCTGTGGTTCCTCGAGGAGGCTTTGACTCTCCCTTTTACCGAGAGAGTCTCCCAGGTTCTCAGCGGAAGACCCACTCGGCAGCCTCCAGTGCTCAGAGCGCCAGCGTGAACCCTGAGCCTTTACACTCCTCCCTGGACAAGCTTGGGCCTGACACACCAAAGCAAGCCTTTACTCCCATAGACCTGCCCTGCGGCGGTGCTGATGAAAGCCCTGCGGGAGACAGGGAATGCCAGACTTCTTTGGAGACCAGTATCCTCACTCCCAGTCCTTGTAAAATTCCACCTTCGACGAGAGTGGGCTTTGGAAGCGGGCAGCCTCCCCCGTACGATCATCTTTTTGAGGTGGCATTGCCAAAGACAGCCCATCATTTTGTCATCGGGAAGACTGAGGAGCTTTTAAAGAAAGCAAAAGGAAGCACAGAGGAAGATGGTGTGCCCTCTACCTCCCCAATGGAAGTGCTGGACAGACTGATACAGCAGGGAGCAGACGCGCACAGCAAGGAGCTGAACAAGTAAGGGACTGGGGCCCTCTCTTCTGTGTTAAATGGTCCATTTTGTTGTGAAGTACAGAAGGTGTGAGAGAGGAACAAGAATCGTTCTTCACACTCCCACCCTGAGGCAGCTGGTTCTCTGCTGTTTGTCAGATGTCCTTCTAGGCTGTTGTGTCTTCATATATGTGACCATGTGTGACCTCTGTGCACCTAAAGTGGGATGATTCCTTAGCAGTCCACTTCAAAATGAGTCTTTTTATATAGGCCATTTTGTGCCTCTGTTCTATGAGGACACTCAAATGCTTTCATGTGTGCCCTCTGCAAGCTGTAGGCTGAAAATGAGGTTGTGGTATTTCAAAGAATATAAGAATATTTGTCACAGTGTTTCCCTCTCTAGCTACAGATTATTATTATTTTCTATTTTGGTATAGTTCATTAGGTGGAGATAAAATCACCAGCATTTTATGCAAGTTCAGGTGGCTGATGTCCCCTCCAGACCCGCTGAGGCACCCAAGTTTTCATAGAAAGGACTAGCTGAGAAACTGTTTCCCATCCTTTTATTAGCTACTTTACAGGTGCTTGGGGAATATTTTTATTTTTCTTCTTATGTACTATGCTATGGTGGAATTTGACAAGGATTATAATATTTAAACTCCCTATTTTTAAACGAGATTTGGCATGATAGGCTCAGGTAAATTACCTACTTTTTCCTTAAATTTAAGTGACAGTAGCTTCACAACAGAGTGTACTCCCTGTATATTTCAACAGACAGGGTTGAAAGCGGCTCTCAGCGTGTTTGACCACTCAGTTTCTCTGGAGAGCTGGCCCCAGAAACGGAGGCCACAGTGTATGCAGTGGAGGTCAGCCTGCGGCCCTCTCTGCTCTGCAGACCAGGTCGGAGGCCGTGGGGCTGCCTCCCATTGTGTCCACTGTAGGCTTCTCTAACTCTCTGTGGCCCTGGAGTTTGAAACATTCTTATGCCATTGCAGATTCTGACCACAAAGAAGTGATCTAACTTTGCCGCAAATAAAAGTCCAGATAAGTTTTTTTCTTGGTAAGATCCGTAACTTTGTTACTCAAAAACTTTCTTCCTAGGTTGCCTTTACCCAGCAAGTCTGTCGACTGGACCCACTTTGGAGGTAAAGTTGTTACTTTAGCTCCAAATCCAGCCCACAAGGTTCCTGCTTGCTTGTTGCCCTTTCTGTCCTTGAAGGAGGTGCCCTCTGGGAAACAGATCTCCCCTTGGCTATTGCTCCAGCCAGGCTATCTGCTTGGCTAAAGGATCTCAAGTGTTGCCAAGTCAGCATTTCTTATTTTTGAAAAGTGGCAAGTACCATGCACTTGAGAGTAGAAGTGCAAAATTACAGACTTCCTGCCAGGCTTCCCTAGAGAAGACCAGAGTGAAGGAGAACACACAGTGAAGGAAGGGTCTTGAGAAACAGGGCACCTGAAATGTGTGATCTAGATTTGTGGGGAAAGGAAAGCAGGCTCTGAAAGAGTCATCCCACGTGACACGACCTTTTGCATTCCTTCACGAGGGAGACACATAGTCTATACTTTCCCCACTGCTGTTGCTGGGAGCCAAGTGGTCATTTGCAAAGAGAGTGGTGATTTGTTTCTTAAAGAATTGTGTTTGTTAAACTAACAACACATGGGAAGGGGGCTTGATTGAACGATCTGTAAAAGGCATTTCTGCCACCCTCCCTCTGCTTTAAAATCAGGCTCTCCTCCTTCAGATGAGATCCGCACCCTCCGAGACCAGTTGCTTTTACTGCACAACCAGTTACTCTACGAGCGTTTTAAGAGGCAGCAGCATGCCCTGCGGAACAGGCGGCTCCTCCGCAAGGTGATCAAAGCAGCAGCTCTGGAGGAACATAATGCTGCCATGGTGAGGACTGGGGAGGGGACAGGTGGAGCTTGCTGTTTGTTTTGTTTTGGGTCAGCATGATAGCTTACAAAGCACAGCAGCTGAGGAGGTCAGAGTTCCCAGTCCCTCCCACTCCTTCGGGCAGGTCACTCGAGATTAAGACATGAATGGTGACGTCTCAGAATTCCCTCATAATTCTCAGAAACCGTGGGGACAAGTGATTTTGTGTGTGTATGTTTGCATGTAATTGGCCATGGTGATGAAGGGTCAGAAGATGATTTTATTTTTCCAAATGTAAAACCAAACTCTTGTAAAGCTATTTCATGGCACAAAACTGAAGTGTGTATTGTACAGTGTGTGTGAAGCCAGTCAGACCTGGAGTTTGAATCTCGGCTCTACCAGTGTTACCTTAGAAAAGTAACTTGGCCTCTTAAAGCCTCTGTTAGCCATGCTATAAAATGGAAATAATAATAGCAGCAGCTGCTCTTTAAGTTGTGATGGTTAAAAGAAATGTCGGTAGCACTTGCTGAGTGCCCAGCACACTGCAGGCATTCAGTAAATGCTCATCATTTTAGTGAACTTAGTACCATGTGTGAGAGATTTTATTCCAGTGTTGGTAGTCAGACTTTTGAAAGTATTGGAAGCAAATTGATCCCTGAGAAGATTTCTTTAAGCAACTTAAAATCCATTTGCTTAATGTAAAATTTGGAAAACCTTGACCTAAAGCCCAGTAAAACAGTAGTGAGAGCTCTAAGAGTTTGGGTCTGTAGTTACATTGTCAGGGTAGCTTGTGACTATTCAGGTGAAATGTTTGTAGTGTGTGTTAAATTGCCTGTGTTGGAAGACAGCTAAAATGATGACATTTCTGGTCTCTGCTAGAAAGATCAGTTGAAGTTACAAGAGAAAGACATCCAGATGTGGAAGGTTAGTCTGCAGAAAGAACAAGCTAGATACAGTCAGCTTCAGGAGCAGCGTGACACTATGGTGACCAAGCTCCACAGCCAGATCAGACAGCTGCAGCATGACCGAGAGGAATTCTACAACCAGAGCCAGGAATTACAGGTATAAACTGGAGCACCAGGCAAAGCCAACTGTGAGAACGCTGGAGAGCAGTGAGGAGGGAGGCAGCTGGTTTCCTGGGGTGTCCTCGACTTGTTCAGCTTCATTAAGCTGAATGCTTTTCTCTCTCAAATCATGGCAGAGATTCTTCATGGCTGGTGAATCTTTTTTTTTTTTTTTTTTTTTTTTTGAGACGGAGTCTCACTCTGTCGCCCAGGCTGGAGTGCAGTGGCCGCATCTCAGCTCACTGCAAGCTCCGCCTCTCAGATTCACGCCATTCTCCTGCCTCAGCCTCCCGAGTAACTGGGACTACAGGCACCCGCCACCTCGCCCGGCTAGTTTTTTGTACTTTTAGTAGAGACAGGGTTTCACTGTGTTAGCCAGGATGGTCTCGATCTCCTGACCTTGTGATCCGCCTGTCTCGGCCTCCCAAAGTGCTGGGATTACAGGCTTGAGCCACCACGCCTGGCCATGGCAGGTGAATCTTACTTAGGGCAGAGGTTCCCCAACTTTCTTGGTTCATATAGTAGCTCCCTTAGTGTCTCAGTCAATTTTTTTTTCTGCAGCCAAAAAGAAACACTTAACAGTTCTGCTCATTAAGTCGATCTGAATAACTTAGTGAGTATGAATGTCCTAAGAACTTAGTAGGTGTTTAGAAATAATACACATAAATTTAAAAAAATAATAACTGCAATTACTAATGCCTCGTGTGCACCTATTGGGCACTGCATGGCATCTCAGACCTTGAAATCAGAGTGGACAGTGACACCCTCATTTCCTGTTTCACACTGGTTTTCCTTGTGGTGCTTTGTATCACTGCACCCAAAAAAGCCCAGCTTCACAAAGACGTCATCCACAGTTGCAGCATCATTTCCAGCTAGTTGGTAATTCACAGGGTGTCCAACAGATGGCGCTGCGTCTCCCTCGAAAATTTAAAATCTTTCTGCGGCCTCTCTGAGTTTGCTGGGTAGCCTCAGGGCTCTTTGGTGCACAGCTTGGGAACTGAGAATCTTAGGTCTCTTTTTTTCTTTTGTTAAACAGTAAGGAACTCAGAAATCAACCATAACTTACTTTTTAAAACTAAGATATCAAATCCTGAGGGCCCAAGAAAGTAGAGCCGTTGAGCTAGGCATTCCCAGTCCTCTGTGGGCTGGTGGCCAGGTAGGCTTGTGATCCAGCCTGTCAGTGCTCCTCAAACTTCATGTCCACGTCTCTTTGGGTAGACGAAACTGGAGGACTGCAGGAACATGATTGCAGAGCTGCGGATAGAATTGAAGAAGGCCAACAACAAGGTGTGTCACACTGAGCTGCTGCTCAGTCAGGTTTCCCAAAAGGTAAGAAGAAATGAGGCAGACCTGAATCTGTTGAAACACCATTTGCTAACATTCTTCCTTCAGACAGGTTAAAGAAATATATTACTTGAGTGTCTGTGTCATGGGTTCCCAATGGGAAGTAGTTCTGCTGCCCCCATGTTCCCTGACATTTGGCAGTGTCTGGAGACATTTTAGGTTCATGTTTTTGGTGCTACTGGCATCTAGTGGGTCGGAGCCAGGGTGCTGCCAAATATCCTACAATGCACAGGCAGCCCCCTGCAGCAAAGAAGTATCCATCTAAACCCTGGTCTATGTGTATCCCATGGAACCCTTTCTTCACACTTTGTTTACATAAGTGTCAAAAGTTTGTTCAGGTTTTTGAGCGTGATTCCTCCTTCTTTGGGAATCACTGCACTTCATACATCATTTTGTCAAGAACGGTGAGTTTTCCCTAGGGCTTTATGCCACTGGGCCTTGGTGGTATACCTGTCCACCTTCTCCAGGTGTTCTGTGGGTGGCCAGTTTTGATGGACTGCATTCGTGCTGTCCCCTTTGCAAAGCACAGTTCCGAAGTGCATTTCTATTTTTGTTGTCCTTGGGTGCCATCCTCCCCATCTGCCATTATGTCAGGGACTGTAAATCGATGGGACTTGTTTATTTTGCTTTAACATTGAAATAGTGTGCTTCTAGCTGATTCCCTATTTCATGTCCACGTGCTAGTTTTATGTCGTCGGATTTTTCACTTTGCTTATGTTTTTTGGCTAGCTCTCAAACAGTGAGTCGGTCCAGCAGCAGATGGAATTCTTGAACAGGCAGCTGTTGGTTCTTGGGGAGGTCAACGAGCTATATTTGGAACAACTGCAGAACAAGCACTCAGATACCACAAAGGTATGCCAGGGCTCAGGGAGCCAGACCTTAGTGGGGAAAGCATTTCAGACCCAGACAGTATGTCTCCGGCATGTCATATAGAATGGCTTGATGACTTGTTTCCTAAAAGACGGAGTGGCAGTCCCACTTCCCCCTGGTCCAGATAGACAAGCACTTTCCAGCCACCGCGTGAGTTTGTTTCTCCTGTTGGGTTGCTTTGAAGTTAACTCGCACTGAAAGCACCTAATGGTAATTGGTACAGAGTAGGTGTAAAGTGTTTCCTTTCTCTTCCCTACGCCCCCTTTCAAAGAGGGAGAGAAAAAAAGAAGGGTGGGGGACCAATTCTGTTTAACATACCTCTCAGGACTGTGGGTATAGACTGGCGTACATACCAGGTGTTTTTCCTTTTAATGTTGGATTTCTGCAGATGGTAGTTCAGTCCTGGCAACAAGGCCAGCATTGGGATGATCTTACGTTAATTAGTGCCTCACCAGTGGTGTCGAGGCAGAAGTTTTAAGTCACTTTATAAATAGCCTCAGGTAATGTTAGTGAATGAGGTGGGAATTGAATTTTAATAGTCGCTGTTCAGTTGCTTCCTGTCACTAACTTCTCCATCACACGTGGGCCTCCTTTTTAGGTTTCTTGGGCATGTGCTTTGTAAAGAGTCCTTTTCGCCGGATGTAGAGAGGAGTCTTAGAACTGGAGAGAGTAATTTTCCTAATAGAATTACTCTTTATTTCTTGGCTCCTCTCAGCTCTCAGAGTCAGACTCCCTTTCTTAGAAGGATGTTAGATGTGGTACTTTCTCTGGAAAGCATCTATCACTTATTTCGGAGGTGTAATGACTTTGGGAACAGAAAGGGGGAGAAACAGATCTGTGGCACAAGAGAGCTCCTGAAAAAGCTGCTGAAATGCGCGCGTGCCATCTCCTGAGCGAAGCCTAGACGGGCGGCCTCCATGGAGCCCTTGTGCTCTTTGGGACCTTGAGTAGCCTCCTGTCCGTGGAGCCCTGTTTCCCAGTTCATTAAACAGGGGTGATGCAGCTCAGTTGTGATAGTCAGGATGCCTTCAATTGTAGACAACAAAAACCAAACTAGGGCTGGGCACGGTGGCACATGCCTATAGTGCTATTTGGGAGGCTGAAATAGGATTGCTTGAACTCAGAAGTTCTAGACCAAGCCTAGCAACATAGCAAGACTTCATCTCAAAAAAACAACAAAAACAAAAAACACTCAACTGGCTTAACAGTGGAGAATTTTATTATTTCACTTGACAAGAAGTCATGAGGCAGGTGAGTTCCAGGTTGGTCAAGTTGGCCATTCAGGGACAGCATCGAGGAGCCAGACTCTTTCCATTCTTCTGCACTGCCTTGCTTATCCTGCAGGCCTGGTCCTCCAGCTAGCTGCACTCACGGTTGCCAGGTGTGTGCCATAGGCACAGATATGACAGGCAGACACAGTAATGTCCCACAGAAGAGGAGAGCATCTCTTCCTATTCCTCAGCAAGAAAATCTTTCCCAGGCCGGGCGTGGTGGCTCACTCCTGTAATACCAACACTTTGGGAGGCAGACGTGGGTGAATCACGAGGTTAGGAGATCAAGACCATCCTGGCCAACATGATGAAACCCCGTCTCTACTAAAAATACAAAAAATTAGCCGGGTGTGGTGGCCCACACTTGTAGTCCCAGCTACTTGGGAGGCTGAGGCAGGGGAATCGCTTGACCCTGGAGACGGAGGTTTCAGTGAGCCGAGATCATGCTACTGCACTTCAGCCTGGTCAACAGAGCGAGACTCTGTCTCCAAAAAAAAAAAAAAAGAAAGAAAGAAAACCTTTCCCAGATGCTCCCACCATACTTATCTCCCCTGTTGGCCGGGCCTGTCCTGTGCCCATCGCTAGCCTAGTTATTGCCTCAACCCAGTTAGGATTTGCCCCCGAACCTGGAGCTAGGGTTGCTCTTGTTCCATCCAGAGGAGAAGGAAGAGTGAGTGGTGGGGAATCGGGGGAACAGTTGGTAGGGGTGGCTGTAAGGATTAGTGAGAGTGCACGGATGTTCCTGGCGGATGTTCCTGGTTCAGTGCTTTGCATGATTATCCATGAATAAGTCCTATTGTTTATGACAAAGACCAGATAGATGCGTTCAGCTACCCTGTGCTGAAGTCTGGAGCCATTTAGCACAGCTGGAACAGCCACATTATCAGAGCCAGTTCTGAGTTTAAATCAGTTGCATTCTGTAACAAGGAAGCATTGGGCTCACCAGACAGCATCAAGGCAGGGGCGCCTTTGTGAAAGCTCATCTCCTTGCTGTTTATGGTTTATTATCTTTTTTAAAAAACAAATATATGGCAAATTTTATGTTTTGTACAATTTACCACAGTAAACATACACACACAAAAGTAACACAGGCTTAAAAAAATATCCTTTCCGCCTTCTTTCTGAGCATTAATGTGTACTTGCTCTGGGTTTCAAGCTGTTCCAATCTGTCGGCTGCAGGCCATCTGCCTTAGCACGATCAACAAACCTTGTCAGGGCACCCAGTCTGCAGAGGCTGCTTTGCTTGAGCAGACCTGCTCCACTGGCGTTCCATTCTGTAGCCCCACCTGCGCTATTGTCAGGAGGGGGAGAAAAGGAGAAAGAAAGCAAGTGGCCTGCGGTACCACTAGACTGAAATGATAGCCGGATACTGGCGGATTTTCACGTGGTGTTTTGGATACCTATATGTTCGCATAGTTGATTGTACTATTCACACAGTCTTGTAGTCTGCTTTTTAATCTTTTTACTGATACCATATCATTTTTTAAAAAGACTTAGAAATATAGGATGTATTTTAATTTACTTAGCTGTTCCCCTGACATTAGACTTAAACGATGTTTCCAGGTTTTTGCTCTTATAAATATGCTGTGATGATTATTTTTGTGCAAAATCTCTATGTTTCACATGCTTTCCTTGGGGATCGATTTCAAGGAAGGGTTACTAGGATAATACTACCAGCTTACTAAAGTGCCTTCTCAGTCCTTCTTACATTGTCTTTTCAAAATGGATACAGCGTGTTTATTTTTTATAAGTACTAATTCTAGTCTTTTTTTTTTTTTTTTTTTTTAGGAAGTAGAAATGATGAAAGCTGCCTATCGGAAAGAGCTAGAAAAAAACAGAAGCCATGTTCTCCAGCAGACTCAGAGGCTTGACACCTCCCAGAAACGGATTTTGGAACTGGAATCTCACCTGGCCAAGAAAGACCACCTTCTTTTGGAACAGAAGAAATATTTAGAGGATGTCAAACTCCAGGCAAGGTAACTTTCATCAGGAAAGGCTTTTGTGTTTTTATTAAGTGGAACTTCCTATATTCTGGCTGGTCTGTATCTTTCAGAGGACAGCTGCAGGCTGCAGAGAGCAGGTATGAGGCTCAGAAAAGGATAACCCAGGTGTTTGAATTGGAGATCTTAGATTTATATGGCAGGTTGGAGAAAGATGGCCTCCTGAAAAAACTTGAAGAAGAAAAAGCCGAAGCAGCTGAAGCAGCAGAAGAAAGGTAGGAACAAAGAACTGATTAATGACCTTGGGATTAAGCTGTCAATTACAGCAGAAGGACTGTGTCACATGGTGTGGGAAGCAGTTATAGCTGATTAGACAGGGCTGCAGCGCTCAGCTCACTCCATTTCAGAGACCCACTCTGACGTTCCTTTCCTCCAAACGTCCAGTGATCTCTTCATGGTCCTTTTCCTGGCCTCGAGTCCCTCCATACAGCCACAGGAAGTGTTCACACTTAAGATTGCCACCTAGTATCCCTAGTTGTGACTTAGGTTTCTCTTGATGAGATCTCTTGCTTGAGTCCAGTATTATAAAACAGAGAGTGGGCTAGCAGAGTTCAGCATCAGTGTGAGTGAGTGTCAGTGTAATTCCACATCTTCCAAATGTGGATGCCTCAATCACCAGCTCCTTCTTTCCTCCCGGGCTTTCTTACAGGCTTGACTGTTGTAATGACGGGTGCTCAGATTCCATGGTAGGGCACAATGAAGAGGCATCTGGCCACAACGGTGAGACCAAGACCCCCAGGCCCAGCAGCACCCGGGGCAGTAGTGGAAGCAGAGGAGGTGGAGGCAGCAGCAGCAGCAGCAGCGAGCTTTCCACCCCGGAGAAGCCCCCACACCAGAGGGCGGGCCCATTCAGCAGTCGGTGGGAGACGACGGGAGAACCGTCTGCCAGCATCCCTACCACTGTGGGCTCACTTCCCAGTTCAAAAAGCTTCCTGGGTATGAAGGCCCGAGAGTTATTTCGTAATAAGAGCGAGAGTCAGTGTGATGAGGACGGCATGACCAGTAGCCTTTCTGAGAGCCTAAAGACGGAACTGAGCAAAGACTTGGGTGTGGAAGCCAAGACTCCCCTGAACCTAGATGGCCCGCACCCATCTCCCCCGAACCCGGACAGTGTTGGACAGCTACATATCATGGACTACAATGAGACTCATCATGAACACAGCTAAGGATGGTGGTCAATCAGTGTTAACTTGCATATTGTTGGCACAGAACAGGAGGTGTGAATGCACGTTTCAAAGCTTTCCTGTTTCCAGGGTCTGAGTGCAAGTTCATGTGTGGAAATGGGACGGAGGTCCTTTGGACAGCTGACTGAATGCAGAACGGTTTTTGGATCTGGCATTGAAATGCCTCTTGACCTTCCCCTCCACCCGCCCTAACCCCTCTCATTTACCTCGCAGTGTGTTCTAATCCAAGGGCCAGTTGGTGTTACTCAGTAGCTTTACTTTCTTCCTTTCCCCCGAGAATGGTTGCGTCCTTTGAACCTGTGCAATATGAGGCCAAATTTAATCTTTGAGTCTAACACACCACTTTCTGCTTTCCTGAAGCTCAGATTACTGGGTTGGCTCTCAGTTAGACCAGGTAGTTTGTTGCATTGCAGGTAAGTCTGGTTTTATCCCTTCCAGGAGGACATAGCCTGCAAAGCTGGTTGTCTTCACTTGAAAGCTGTCACATGAGACTTTTCCACTGCTTTTTGATTCTGAAGTTCAGCATCTAAAGCAGCAGGTCTAGAAGAACAATGGTTTATTCACACTTACATTCTTTTGGCAGTTCTAATAAGCTTCCTAGAAAGTTCTGTGTAAACAGAAGCCTGTTTCAGAAATCTAGAGCTGGCACTGTGGAGACCATACACCCTTTGGGAAAGCTCTTGTCCCTCTTCCCCCACTACCTCTTATTTATTTGGTGTTTGCTTGAATGTTGGTACTATTGTGACCACAGGCTGGTGTGTAGGTGGTAAAACCTGTTCTCAGTAGGAGGCAAGGAGCAGTCACTGGGAGAGGTTACCCGAGAAGCACTTGAGCATGAGGAACTGCACCTCCAGTCCATCTCAGCTTGCTGGGCCTTTTGTTAAACCTTCCTGTCTGCTGGCCTCCCTTTGTGTGCACACGCCTCTTGTTCATGTCAGCTTATTTGTGACAGTGCAGCAGAAAGGCTCTGAAGGTCCAAAGAGTTTCTGCAAAGTGTATGTGACCATCATTTCCCAGGCTGTTAGGGTTGCCTCACTGTAGCAGGTTCTAGGCCACCAGAAGGGGGGCAGCTTTTTCATACCAATTCCAACTTTGAGGGGCCGACTCTTCAGGCACAGATGTCATCACACTGTCCATGTTAGTAATGCAGAGCAGTCTAAGCAGAGTCCGGGAGAATGTTGGCAAAAGCTGGCTGTGTATGCCCACTAGGCTGCCCCACGTGCTCACGAGAGATGACACTAGTCAGAAGAGTGGCAGTGGCAGAGAATCCAAACTCAACAAGTGCTCCTGAAAGAAATGCTAGAATCCTAAGAATTGTTGCCTGGTGTTCCAGCTGAGGCAGGGGAGAGCTGGTAGGAAGGAGCCAGTGAACTTGGCTTTCCTGTTTCTATTCTTTCATTAAAAAGAATACAAGGATTCAGTCATAAAGAGGTAAAAAACTGTCATGGTACGAAATCTTAGTGCACACGGAGGCTTCGAGCACTAGAGAATAAAAGTCTTTTTTTTTTTTTTTTTTTTTTTTTTAGCATGGCAATAAATATTCTAGCATTCCTAACTAAAGGGAGGTAGACAGTTGGAGACTCTATGTCACCCTGGCTATACCGGCAGAAAACCTGTTCAGGCAGGCTTTCTGGGTGTGACTGATTCCCAGCCTGTGGCAGGGCGTGGTGTCAACTACTCGGCCTAGCACAGGTTGGCAGTTGGCCCTGAATTGTCAGATGTGGAGTATTAGTGACACCACACGTTTAATTCAGCTTTGTCCAAAGGAAAGCTTAAAATCCAGTATAGTCTAGTTTCCTGGTCCAGTTTTAGAAAAGGAAAACGTGAACAAATTTAGAAAGGGAAGGAAATCCCATCAGTGAATCCTGAAACTGGTTTTAAGTACTTTCCTTCTAGAGATCTGTGCCACAGAACAAGATACCAGGCACTTAAAGCTTTTTCCTTAATTGGCAAAGGAAAAGAGGCCCAGGTGAAAAAGAAAACACATTTTAGAAATGGACGGGTTGTCAAAATAAAGGGAAGAAAGGTGGCAGCATGGACAGAGGCCTAGGCCTGAAGCTCTATGGACATGTCTGTGCAGGGCCCTCAGCTCGTCCATCCAGCCTGGGTGTCCCTTTCCTCAGCTTTATAACAAAGGTGGCTCCAAGCTCAGGTGCCTCTGAGTTCCAGGAGGCTGTGGGTTTCACTCAACCACAGATGGGAGAATGAGACCTGGAGTCATGGTGAAGGGGCCCAGCCTAAAGCTGTAGGCTTTCATGTTGCAAAGAACTCGAGTCAGTAGTTAGGTTTGGTTTGGTTTTGGAAGTGGTAAACCTGCCGAGAGTCACTCGGTCATGCTGCAGTGAGTAGTTTTAAGGATGGGAAAGGTGACAGTAGGACTCTCGAGAGGCAATTCAGTCCTGGGCAAAGGTATTAGTACAGTAAGCGTTCAGGGCAGAGTCTATCTTGAAACCAATTAAGCAGCTTGGTATTTATAAATATTGAGATTGGATGGCCTCCATCCAGGAATCACTATGGGTGAGCATACCTGTCTCAGCTGTTTGGCCAATGTGCATAACCTACTCGGATCCCCACCTGACACTAACCAGAGTCAGCACAGGCCCCGAGGAGCCCAAAGTCTGCTGCTGTGCAGCATGGAATTCCTTTAAAAAGGTGCACTACAGCTTTAGCGGGGAGGGGGATAGGAAGACGCAGAGCAGATGAGCTCCCGAGTCCCTGCAGGTGAATAAACACACAGATCTGCATCTGATAGAACTTCAATGGATTTTCAAAAAGCCATTGACAAGACTCTGCCATAAAGTCTATAAAAATTGTTATTATGGGATTGGAAGAAACACGTGGTCATGAATATAAAAAAACGGAAACCCAAAGGTAGGAAGGTCAAGGTCACTTCTTCGATGGAGAAGTTGTGAAAGATGTCCTTGGAGAGGAGTGTTAGGACCAGCATTACTAAGGCAGGTGGGCAGACAGTGACCTCTCTAGGTGTGCCCACAGAGTTTTTCAGGAGAGAAAACTGCCCAACCTTTGGGACTAAGCTGCAGAATCTTCTTACTAAGCTTGATGAGTGGAGAGGCGAGAGGTGAGCTACTTTGTGAGCCAAAGCTTATGTGACGTGGTTGGGGGAAACAGTCCAAATTGTTCTGAGAAGGTGAACTGTTACAACCCAGGAACAGGTCCTGGAAGCCACTGACAATTAGAAAAATTCACCCACCATGCCGCACATTACTGGGTAAAAGCAGAGCAGCAGGGAACAAAACTCCAGACTCTTGGGCCGTCCCCATTTGCAACAGCACATGTAGTTTCTGGTATAGTTGTTGAGAAAGAGAAAACTCTAGCCGTTGTTCAGAGGAGGATGTATAAAATGGTCCTGGGGATGAAAGGATCTGTGAGACCACAGAGGCTCAGACTCGCTGTTAAGAACAGAAAACTGGGTATGTGTTTCATGTAGCCAGCAGAACCGAAGTGTGCTGTGACAAGCCAATGTGAATTTCTACCAAATAGTAGAGCATACCACTTGAAGAAGGAACTGAAGAGCAAACAGAAGTTCTCCACAGTGAGACTCACCTTATCTCACTGAAAGCACTAAGAGGTGGGAGGAGGCCTGTACAGGCTGGAGGAGGGTTTGGGCAGAGCGAAGGCCCGGCCAGGACCTTGGTGAGATGGAGTGCCGCCCACCTCCTGCGGATACTCTTGGAGAGTGGTCCCCCCAGGGGGCTCTGCCCCACCTGGAGAAGAAAGCTGCCTTGTGTGGAGTGACTCAGATCAGTACACCTTATCTGCTGCACCTTCACTCTCCAGGGTACATGCCACAAGCGTTGGAAAAATGTATCCAGTCTGAAGATGTTTGTGTGTCTGTTTACATCCAGAGTTCTGTGACACATGTCCCCCAGATTGCTGCAAAGATCCCCAAGGCATTGATTGCACTCGATTAAGCTTTTGTCTGTAGGTAAAAACAAGTTTAGGTCGAGGACTGGCCCCTAGGCTGCTGCTGTGACCCTTGTCCCACGTGGCTTCTCTGTCCGGAACGCTTCGATGTGCCCAGGGGAGCATGTTCCTGTCTCCTCCATGCCGTCCTGCAGTCCGTATCTGCTCGTCTGAGGGAAGAGTAGCTGTAGCTACAAGGGAAGCCTGCCTGGAAGAGCCGAGCACCTGTGCCCACGGCTTCTGGTCATGAAACGAGTTAATGAAGGCAGAGGAGTTTCCTCCTCGCTTCCCAGCGCCACATTACCCACCCTCTGAGATAAGTAGGCTGGTTTAACCATTGGAATGGACCTTTCAGGGGAGATCCTGAGAGTCTGAGAACCCCCAGACCAACCCCTCCCTCCCTTTCCCCACCTCTTACAGTGTTTGGACAGGAGGGTATGGTGCTGCTCTGTGTAGCAAATACTTTGGCTTATGAAAGAGGCAGCCATGCATTTTGCACTAGGAAGAATCAGTAATCACTTTTCAGAAGACTTCTATGGACCACAAATATATTACGGAGGAACAGATTTTGCTAAGACATAATCTAGTTTTATAACTCAATCATGGATGAACCATGTGTGGCAAACTTGCAGTTTAAAGGGGTCCCATCAGTGAAAAGAAACTGATTGTTTTTAACGGACTGCTTTTAGTTAAATTGAAGAAAGTCAGCTCTTGTCAAAAGGTCTCAACTTTCCCGCCTCAATCCTAAAAGCATGTCAACAATCCACATCAGATGCCATAAAAATGAACTGCAAGATAAAATGGTACAATCTTAGTGAATGGGAATTGGAATCAAAAGGGTTTGCTGTCCTTCTTAGAATGTTCTAAAACGTCAAGGCAGTTGCTTGTGTTTAACTGTGAACAAATAAAAATTTATTGTTTTGCACTACTCTGCTGTGTGGACATGGAGTGGCTTACACTGGCCTTGGCAGGCTTATAGGTCAAGCAGGGGACTGGTCCAAAGATACGAAGCCTTAGGGTCTGGTTTGGCTACCTTGGGTGACTGGAGGAGGAACCTGACGAATAATGGATTTGGGCTTTTGTCTCTAAGAAGACTCTTTTTGTTCTGGCAAATTATCTGGTGCACAGCCACACATCCTACCTGTATCTGCCTCAAATTCATGTTCTTCCTCAAAGAGTGGCCAAGGGGCATAGTGTGGGAGGGGGTGACTCGAATCCTGTCTACAGAGAAACCCCCAGAGCCAGGCTGTCTGCAGGGGTGTGTTGTTCCTCTATGCTGGCATGCTGGGTGTCTCGGAGTCCTTTTGGTGGCACTGCACTGACACGTCAGTGCTCCAGAGCTTCCCCTCTTGAGCCTTGCGGGTTGTATTAATGTGAGTGTGCCAAGGAGACAGTGCCGCTCCCAACACTCCCTTCTCCATGCCCTTCATGGGCTTCGGAAGAAGGCCGGAAACTGCCTTTACACAATTTTGACATCCACCCTGGCTAATGGTCTCTTGGCCTGGACTTCCATATAAGGACCAGGGATGAGTTTCATTTGCGATGTGGCTTTCAATTGCTTGCCTCTGCCTGGCTGTGTCTGGAAATCAGCATTGCTCTGCCCATTTTATTTTTATGTGTTTATTTGTTTGAGACAGAGTCTCACTCTGTCGCCGAGGCTGGAGTGCAGTGGCCCAGTCTCGACTCACTGCAACCTCCGCCTCCCAGGTTCAAGTGATTCTCCTGTCTCAGCCTCCCAAGTTGCCGGGATTACAGGCGCCTGCCACCATACCCGGCTAGTTTTTTTGTATTTTTAGTAGAGACGGGTTTTCATTGTGTTGGCCAGGCTGGTCTCAAACTCCTGGGCTCAAGTGATTCACCTGCCTCGGCCTCCCAAAGTGCTGGGATTACAGGTGTGAGCCACCGCACCTACCCTGCTCTGCCCATTTTAATGGTTGAAGCAACTCCTTTGAGACTAAGACTGGGAGGTGGCAGTTTTTAATTTCTTAGGAAAATTCAGGTTTTCTTATCTGACTAGATCTCTAACTAGACTTCCCACCCTTGGAGGAAGATCTGAATGCTGGCTCGCCCTCTGGAGCTTGGGCATGAGCCTCTTAGAAGCTGACTGGAGACAGGCATGCCCCCTTGCCCCTTGCCTAGGGCAGCCTCTCTCTGCTGTCTGCTGAGGCTCTGCATGTGTGGCTACTGCCCAGTGTCCTTTGATGTCTTAGGGGAGATGGAGGTTTTCTTTCAGGGATAAATCCCAGGAAACCAAGCCAGGCAGAGAGGTGGTAGAATACTTTTTATTCTCGACTGTCTCCCCCTGAGGAAGCAACAATACAGAAGCTAAGTCGTCCCCTGTGAAGGGAAAAACCAACAGTCAGACATTACTTTGGGCAAGCTCAGAAGCCAGGGACACATTTTACAATGTTTGGGGTTCAACTATGCTGTGGAAACCAGGTCACTGCCCTTGCTCAGGAGCCGTAAAATCAGAATTCTGGCTTCGGTCATGGTCTCCCTCTCCCAAGTAAAGGAGAAGGGAAGGTGGGTTTATTCCCCTTTGGCTGTGGTCCAGAGAACTAAACAGACTGAGTTCTGGCCAGATGTGGTGGCTCACACCTGTAATCCCAGCACTTCGAGAGGCCGAGGTGGGTGGATCAGTTGAGGTCAGGAGTTCAAGACCAGCCTGGCCGACATGGTGAAGCCCCGTCTCTACTAAAAAAAAAATACAAAAATTAGCCAGGTGGGGTGGTGGGTGCCTGTAATTCCAGCTACTCAGGAGGCTGAGGCAGGAGAATCGCTTGAACCTGGAGGTGGAGGTTGCAGTGAGCCGAGATCACGCCACTGCATGCCAGCCTGGGAGGCAGAGTGAGACTCCACTTCAAAAAATAACAATAAAATATAAACACACTGCGTTCCACATGCTCACCCCCACTCCATCCTGGAGGGGAGCATCCCTGGCTCGCAAACAGCATGTGCCTTGCCTATAGTTGGGGCTGGTGCTGGGGCAAGGAGCGGATGGTCTCCAGCTTGGTGGCTCACTGCAAAGCTGCAGCCCGCAGCAGGGACAGGCCTGGCACTGGAGCCGGATGTGGCTCAAAGAGGACCTAGGTGACAGTTCAGTGCCCTCCTTGGACCCTCTACCACGCCATCCTGTTTGGGCAACTCCTGTAAGTGGGTTTCCTCTTCATCAGCACGGAGCCTGATGCTTAGAAGCGGAAACATTAGAAGTTAAAGCAAGAGGGCCGGGCGCAGTGGCTCACGCCTATAATCCCAACACTTTGGGAGGCTGATCACAAGGGCGGATCACGAGGTCAGGAGATTGAGACCGTCCTGGCTAACACGGTGAAACCCCGTCTCTACTAAAAATACAAAAAATTAGCCAGGCGTGGTGGTGGGCGCCTGTAGTCCCACCTACTTGGGAGGCTGAGGCAGGAGAATGGCGTGGACCCCGGAGGCGGAGCTTGCAGTGAGCAGAGGTCGCGCCACTGCACTCCAGCCTGGGCGACAGAGCGAAACTCTTGTCTCAAAAAAAAAAAAAAAAAGTTAAAGCAAGAGAGAGAGAGGAAGTCTCAGTAATATATTGGCTGATTCCCTTTGGGGTTAGTAAGTGGCAGGGGCCGTGGGTACCAATGAAAAAAGGACCAACCAGTAAAATCCAAATTAAATAGCAAAGCTCTCCACCGATGTAGCTCCCTGGCTCTGAGTTACAGTTTCCCACCAGGAGGCCTCCAGGGCGGTTTTGAACATCCCCTGGGTTTGAGGCTGACTTTGGTGAGCTGTCTACACTTGTGTTTAGTGGCCCCGGGCTGGGTGCCTATGGCCTGGGCAGGACGAGCAGCTCCCCTGGTGCTCTCCTGGTGTGCCTGGGGCTCACTCACGTGCTGCAGCACCTTGCGTGGCAACTTCTCAGAGTGGGCGATCCACTCTTTCATTAAGTCTAGCACGAGGGGGATGAGGCTGACCACGCCTCCGTAGTGGTTCCGGGCCTCGTCACAGCTGAGGTGGTTCACCACGTCATGAGGGTATCTGCAGAATGGCAGGGGGCCGGGTGAGCCCATGCTCCCGGGACTTGCCATGCCGTGGCAAGCAGCTGCCAGACCTCAGGCACAGCAGAGTCACCTGGGGAGGCTTTAGAACTGGACACACAGCATGCTCAGGCTCTCTGTCCCCAGAGATTCTGGCAGACCCGGCCTGGGGTGCCACAGGCCCCAGGTAATTCTGGTGTGAAAGACAGGAGGTGCAAACCACTGCCCCATGGTCTGCAGGAACCTGGGTTGGGGGTGAGGAACTGGCTGGCTCATCCCTCTGGCTCATCTCACCCTGGTATCTACAGAGCTTCCCCAGGCTCTGGCCCACTGTCCTGCGGGGTCCCAGGCTGTCAGGATGAGGAGCCCTCAGTGGCGGTGCTGCTGTCCCTGGGAGGCAGCGCTAGCGTCCACTTCTTTGCATGTCAGTGAGGATCTCTGTGGGCTTCCGGGGGCAACTGCTCTGGGCTCTACATCCGCTTCTCCACCTGCCTGGTGCTAACACCCGTGAGACATTTGGTATCCTGCCATGTCTATGATGCTTGTAAAGAAAAGGTTTCATTGAATCCGAGTCATTCCAGTAAATGAGAGGAGACTGGGATTTCCTGCCCAGGGTGGTCTAACAGGAGCCACATGACCCAGACAACAGGAAAGAAGCAGGACAGAGGCCTCCCCACAGGCACACACGGGGCCTCAAAAGCAGCACCAGAGGGACTTACTTTGCTCTGAGGCTGCTTAAATCATTGCTTTGGCTAACGAGGGTTTTGCATTTCTCGAGGAGGTTGTTGGTGACTGGGGTGCCAGAGTGCACGGCCTCAAAGTGCTGGCAGAGCTTACTCAGCTCTGAACAGATGTCCAGGAACATGAGCAGAATCCGCCGGTCTGTGGAGTTGTTGCAGTAGTGTTCCATGTAGCTCTGCACCTGCAAAGGCCACCGCCACATGAGCTGGGGACATGCCAACCCGGGTCCTGGCTGGCTTATGGTGCAGATGTCCAGGAGCACCCACCCTACTCCCTCCCACCCTCCATGATTCATGGGGGAGATGCAAGTAACGTGTAAGCATTTTAAGGTACAGACCACTCTATATAGTGGTATCTCTCTCTATTGATGGATGGATGGATGGATGGATGGATGGATGGATGGATGGATAGATAGATAGATGATATGAAATTAATGGATTGGCTGGGCACAGTGGCTCACACATGTAATCCCAACACTTTGGGAGGCTGAGGTGGGCAGGGATCACTTGAGGTCAGGAGTTTGAGACCAGCCTGGTCAACATGGTAAAACCCCATCTCTACTAGGAAAAAAAAAAATTAGCCAGGCGTGGTGGCACATGCCTGTAGTCCCAGCTACTCAGGAGGCTAAGGCAGGAAAACCACTTGAACCCAGGAGGCGGAGGCTGCAGTGAGCCGAGATCACGCCACTGCACTGCAGCCTGGGTAACAGAGCAAGACGCCATCTCAAAAAAAAAAAAAAAAAATTAAATTAAATGGATGGATGGATGGGTAGATAGATAAATGGATATAAAATCAAGTGTTCCAGCATCATGCAAAATGCTTTACAGGCCTGCTCTCACTTGTCTTCATCTAAACCCTACACACCGAGTAGGTACCTTTTTAAATTCTCATCTTACAGATGAGTACCATGACATGAGCACTGGAGGTCTGGAGAGGTGAAATAACCTGCCCAGGGCACCAGTGGCTTAGTTGGATATTGTCCCCAGCTCAGTGGCTCCGTGCCCTACCCCTCACCTGTCCCCATGCCACCTGAACCAACCACCACCTAAAGCAAAAGGGGGCTGCCCCCTGACTTAATGCCACAGTGCCTGTCATCCCACTTAGAGAGTTCATTGTGAGAAATGCCAGCGTGGGCCACCCACACTGAGGAGGAAACAGCAGGGACTGGAATCCTTTGGGC